TTGAAAGAAAAAAAAAGATTACTTAATAGTCTTAGTATTATTATAGTATTAGTATTATATTATATGTATTATTGATAATTAGCTTCACATAATTAATAAAAATATTAGAATGAAGAAAGCATAAAATTTTTATACCAAAGCTGTTTTGGATTCAGTTTATACATATTCAGTGGGTTATTTCTAAATTTATGATTCACAATTTTTCAGGGTGCATCGATGTCAAAAAGTGTTCCCATCTTTGCCACTTATCGAACGATGTCATAATTATATAATTGATGCCAAATATTTATATGTTTGTGATCGTTGTGGACAGACGTTAGTCTTAATTTCTGCAAGTGTTAAAGTGATATTTCAAAGGTTAAAAAAAAAATGCTGATGTTGGAATAAAGAGAATATATATGAATTCATTATGTATTCCAAATTCTTTCCTTTAAACATTCATTGGTTTGCATTTTACATTGTTATTACTAATATACAAAGATACTGAAAATATCTGATTAAATTTCAGAATCAAACGACATTCAAAATCGCTTGATATTGATCGTAAAATCTGTGGCATTTGCCAGGGACATTTTATCCTAAGATCGCGTGATGGAAAGGAATTCTTGAGAAGGCGAGCCAATACATTTGCACAGTTTGTAAAAGAAAATTATGGAAAAGAACGAAAACCTGGTGTGAAGCCTGCAGAAATCATGAAGATTTTATCACTACGCTTCAAAGAAGTTTCTTTTTCTTTTTTTTTAAAAAATATCAACCAATAGCACCACACCCCTTAGAACAGTAAAATTTCTATTAATAGGAATGAATCAATAGTAATAATTGTTCACTTGTTTCTCATTAATTTTGAAATGTTGCAGCAGAAAGGAATGGCTTCCGAAACAGGAGAAATTATTACTGTGGAATAATAAAGAAAAAATTTCTCTCACTGTTGGCAGTTTTTCCTATTTTTGTTATCAATTTTTCTAATATTTACAATTGAAATTTACATTTTGTTAATATGAAAAATTTGGATCTTATGTATACTAATTCGGATCTTGAAAATTTGGGAATTTCAAGATCGTGTAGTTCTCATAACAGTTTAGGCTAATCTCAAGAAACTGAATGAGAGAAATTATTTCACTTTTTTTATTTGGATTTCTGAAATGGACAGAATAAATTCTACAATCTTCGATATGAGCATTTCAAAGATATAAATCCTTGTTGTTAAAGCTAACAATATTTACAACTGTTGTTAATTTCATTTGTTTTTTTTTTTTTTTTTTTATTATTATGACTCACAATTATTCGGTGAACAGTGCAAATGAAATATTTTAGTAGATACTGATTGTATTTCTTGCGATCTTGCTGTAATCCGTATGAAACATTGGAAAATATCATTTTTATAATATTATTAAATCATGAATATATGAAATCATTACTTCGCATTGATGTCGATGAAAAAGTAGTAGCATAAGAATGATCGGCAACAAAATTTTCTCTTGCATTATCGTCAATTCCATAATATCTTTGAAGAACAGGATGTGTTAGCGCAAAACATTTCTTATCCTTTAGACTAACTATTGAACCAGATGGAATACCAAGAAATAGTTGATCAGGCCTTTTTTCTTCCCATTGTTCTCGAGCAGGTTTTCTCTCGTATCCCATAATTTGAGCCAAATCCTCCTCCGCTTTGATCAAATCTTCCGGGTCAGCCAAATAACCACGACGCCGAGGATCAGTGTAAAGTGAAATCAGACTTTCAGGGGGGGCTTTGCGTCGTGGGATAGGTCTTCCTGTAATCAAGTCTCAGTAAGATCGGATGTCATCTTTTAATGCGGTAATACTAACAATATACTTGAGGTCAAGTAACAAACTTTTTAATTAGGAGAAATAATTTAAGATAAAGGTGAAATATTGAAATTTGAAACAACGATTCAGAATGATTTAACTGTGAGTACAAACTAGATTTTCTAAAATAAATTAAATCCAAGAGTTGGAAAAAATGCAGGCTTTTTTTTTGTACCTGATAAGAACCATTTTTCTGGATCAATAGCTGCTTCTAAAGCCGCCGCATCATAATATGCAACTCTGACTCTACCTCCAGCTTTTTCCACGGCTGCAATTGCAGTTTCTGAGGCCCACTGTACTTCCAAATTTATAGCAGTGGCAAAACAATCGGCACCCTAAAAAAAGCTAAGTAACCAGCTTTCTGAAATCAAAACAAATATTTGAACAATTTAATACATGATATTTATTCAAAATGAATATCATAACTCCAATTCACAGTCTAATAATCTTCCAATTTGCTCGAACATGTTCATAATTCCCACATGATACTCAATAAATAATTCCTATTATTCAAGCAGAGCAATGGATTTTTTTTCTTCATGAATTACAGACAACTTCAAATGTAAAGTAAAATTTAACTTCTAAGAAATATGAAGACAGATGCACTATCACCTGATCTGTCAGCTGTACTCCGAACTGTCTCAATGAAGGTTTACAATGATATCTTCGAGTATTGCATAGAGCAGTGATATCGATCAATGATGAAGTATCTAACCAACCCAAATCAATTAGTCGTTGTAACTCAACCAACGATAATGGTGGATATTCTCGCCTTAAGCTAAAAAATCATCAAACTTCTATTAAAATTCCCTTTAAAACAAGAAAATTTGCATTTTCGTGTAATAAAAAAAAAAAAAAAAAAAAGAAGACAGGACAAGAAAGTGAAGATTTTCATGGAAAAGCAACGATACAGAAATATGTCTAAAAAGTTAAGTATAAAATTATCTTGAAAGTATATCCCTCAAAGCTATTTAAAGATTTAATTATTCACTTCCAGTTAACTGTATTGCATGAAATATCAGAATGATGTGAAGCCTGAAAAGATAGGAACATTAAATGATATAACAAAATAATCAGTTGGAAGTAAAGAAATCACGAAATGACCTACTTAATATCACCGTTAAAATGTTCCTCGCCTGGAAAAAGACGTTGCCATGGTTGATAGAAATTACCCCAAATCCATCCAAGTGGAGGTTTCGCAGCATGCTGAAGCTCACCGATTGTATGCCCAGCTTGATTGTGCAAGGAAGACTTTATTTGACGACGCTTAAATAAACTCGAATATTTGATTAATTAACCATTGCGAAAAAAATTAAATCGAAGTTGCTGCCAATTTCACTCGAATTGCATGCGAGAAATGCGTCATGCATCATCTTGAAGTAAAAAAAAAAAAGTTGTAATGATATAATATCTTGTAGACGCAATATACAAAGGTATCACAAGAAATCGTCATAAAAAAACTTTCTCCTTAGCTATAATAAATTAACACAAGATCATTTTTCAATCAAAATTCTAGCAAAAAAAAGAAGCAATTCGTTTAGTAGAAATGATGGAAAAATGAACTGTTAACTGAATCAAATTCACATTTTACTAATCTCGGGCAACAGTTCATAACAAATCTCATACCTGAGTTCTAGCACCAGGATTATCTCGAAGATCTTGTCTTTGCAAACGGCTTGCATTTTCCACATAACGCAAAGCACGTTCACGTGCCGATTTAATTACCTTTGAGGCCATATTTTACAAAGTGATCTAAATAATTCACGCATAACGCAAGCAAACAAGCACATCAATCCATGCATACATTTCGAATTTTCAATATTGGTTATATACCATTCCATGAACTGATCGAGGTAAGCAAATTTTTTATTAATAATGATATAAGACGCCCTTGAACGTGCAACAATGTTGACATTGATATTAAATATTTCATTGTGAACTATAAATAATTCAAAAACTGCAAAGGAAGGCTAACTCAAAATATATAATCAGTACAGGATCGTTTACCTTCCATTTAATACAAGAAACCATGAATCAAAAAGCAGTTTGAACTTCTTAATTTAGAAATTATAACCCATCTTATGAAATCCGGTAATAAGGTGAATCTAATTCCCTCAAACTGTTAATGTGCAGGACAATTTTAAATTAACACTGGTTTGTAAAAGTTTCCACTTAACTGGTACTATATTCAAACTGCATGAAATGATGAAAATTAAACTCCGAAAAAGACAAAGAACTATATTTTTGAAGTTTTTAGTAAAATGAATACTAACCAGAGCATCAACACCGAAGTAATTTGTTGCAGCAGTTTACATTGCCATTGCAAGGAATGAATAATAATAATAATTGATAAAAGTTATTGCAACCACAATAAAATCAAATGCTAACAAATATAGATGAAATTGGAGGGATACTGCATAACAAAATGAATTATGAGTATCATACCGAAAAATAATTTTTTTCTTTTTGATTCACCCATGAGTTAGCATTTTATGGAATTTCGTATTACATTAAAGAATAAATTTACAGTTTTTGCTAGCACCTTTCTCAGTAGCATGCAAAAACGATATGCAACAGATGCAAATAAATGGATGAAACGCTCTGGAAATAAAAGTTAAAAGATGAAGATAAAAAATTCAAACATGAAGTAAAAGCCAAAGATGAAAAATTATAGGATTTTGCAGTGATAAGCCTGAAAAATATAAACAATTAATGATATACTTATGTTTTACTCAATAAATTTAAATTATGTAAAGTTACATTCTATCCAGAATTGAAATTCGCAAAAAGAAAAGTGATATTTTTGATATACCAGCTTGATCTACACGAATGATATATAGTGAGAAGGTTGCAATGGAAATAACCATTTTAAAGCTTGAATATTTGAAATACAAAAAAAAGAAACAGGAAAGAAAATTTTTCAAGTATCACTGAAACCGTGAAGCCTGTACAAGTAAAGAAAATTAAGTGCACAATTGATAAAAAGCTAGAAAAAAGCTTTGAAGATGGACCAAAAATAATCAGACATTTAAAATACTAAATCTAGTTTCATTTAATAGAGTGAAAAAATGTATCACTGATAATTCCCCAATAATTTTAACATCTTTTTTTGAAAAGGAGAAATATTGAGCAAGGAAAGAAAACCATAAACTGCACAAATCAAAAAAATATTTTTACTCAAATACTTGATAAGCAAGACCACTGAAACGTTGTCGCTTCCAAATAAAATACACAATGCCAACACCAAATGCTGCACCAAGCAAAAGCATAAAGAAGCCAAGAACAAACATCGAACCACCTGTATAACCACGAAAAGTGGGTAACGGCAACGGCGCCCATACTGATGGGATGATACCCAAACTTGCTTTTGAAAGACTGAGCATCTAAAAAAAACCAAAGAAAGAAAAATAATGAAAGAAACATTTTACTTAGGAAAAATTTGGAAGTGTACAGTGGGACATTCTACTAGCCAATAAATTCATCAAATGAAAAACCAATCAGTCTCATGGATGTCTTTTGTTAAATAAATGAACATTGTCACTCTTCAAAAAACTTGTATGTTCGTGTACAATATGCTATAAATTAAAATATCTTTACGTAACTTTTTCATTTATATAGAATTTCGTATAAAACAACTATCATTGTGATTATAAAAGAAGGAAATCCTTACCACCATACGATGACCAATAAAAATAGGGAATTTTATATCCTTTTCCTTCAATGTTGCATTTAGTAGGTTAACAGCTGACTCAGCACTTGTCTCATTCTAAAATAACAAAGTTTTTAGAGAGCTTATCAATGAAATTTAACTTGTACCAAAACTCATTATTGGAACTTTTGAAAAAAAAAAAAAAAAAAACATTGGATAACGAATAAAGAATTATTTTTTAGTTCTTCAAGAATTCCATGACGATAGTGTTGGAACAGCCCAAGAATTTGGATGAGTTAAGAAAATGTCTAACTCAAAACAGAAATACATAAATATTTACGGATCTATTCCATGCATTTGCTGGTTTAACACCAGATGCTTCACCAACAACGAAGAATGCAACAACGTTCTCTTGAATCTGCTTAAACTGAAATGATGTTGTCTAACTAGCATAAAAACACAATTAGCCATTTGCTCAAGGAAATATCAAGGCTACAAATATGCACCTATTTCAAAGAATTAAAATTGGAAAAATCATTTAAAAAAAAAAGTTTAGCTAACGAAGAAATTGGCAATTCGGAGCACAGAAACATTAGCAACATGTGCTACAGCTTCTCGCAAACCTTCTCGAACTCTTCCAATTCCAAAACTTTCCAAATTTTTCAGCGTCGCTTAAAGAAGTTACCAATACATAAGTAACGATTTCAGTGTAAAAATAAATGAAAATAATGTTTTCAATCTGATATAAGAAAACCACTCAAAAATTGAGGTTGCTTACTATTCTTGATATTGATATACAGATAACTGTCTTCAACAAGTTTAAGGCACGGATAAATGGAAAGTGAGGTCTGCAAAATTCCGTCTTCTGAATCATTTTTGAATGAATGAAGACGAATTACCGTTTTCGTTTTCTTGCCTGATTCGTTCTAAAAAAAAAAAATACATCAGAAATTCCTGACGAATACTTTTAATGACTAAAGTTGTGTAATGCAAATTTTATTAATAATTGTACATACAGCCAACGAATGGGATGGAAATTATTTTTAGATAATACACCTCGTTCAAATTTTAATTTCTAAAATACCATATGGTATTGGATTATTGAATGAAGAAAAGGTGCCGCAGCTGTTTCCACAACCCAATTTCCCGTCGTGTAAAGCAGTTCAATAACTGTTGAGGTTGTAGTTGAATTACCGACTTTTGTAACATAAACATCCAATGGTATATCATCAACTATTCGCTGAAAATTTTTATAAATTCAAACGAAAATTTGTGGAACGAATTTCATTGAAAGAATCCAATATTTTGGATTGAATTACAAAACGAAGACACAAAATCCTCACTTTTCCCGCATAATAGAATACTGAGTCATTTGAGCTCAAGAATAGTTGCGTTGGTTTCTTCAAATCAATTTCTTTCGTTGATGCATTCACCGTTTGTACATCGCCAAAATTTGCATCGATTGCTGAGACAGAACTACAAACATTATTGTCTCCATCTAGCAAATACTGAAGTCCTGCAAATCATAAAAAACCTGTTTTATTAATTTATTTATGAATATTAATGTGCTGCATTTAACAAAAAGGTGCAAAACTTTGTACTTCAAATCACCAGCCTAATTAATATTAAACTTTATACATTACTATTACTGGCAAGCAGTTGTATTTTTCGAAATCCCGAAAAGTTCGGTTTTCCACTAATTTTCATTTAACTCTCAAATTTGAATTCCAACGAAAAAATCGAAATTCTGTCTTTAACTAACGAACCGTATTGGAAATCATGAATAACATGAATGTTGGTGATTCCTTCGGGAATTGTTGCATTTCCAATGAAAGGCGTAATTTTCCCTGACCGAGCATTTAAATGCATCCAAAATATGCGTTCATTACCATTGTAATACATCTGCAGAAATATGAATAAACATTGAAAATACAATGTCATTTACTAAATCAAAAAAAACCTGGAGTTGATGCACAATTTGAGAATCCAATTTTTAAGCATTATCAGAAAAGGAATTTCAGACAGTTAGGAAGAAAATTTTTCTTTGCAACTCTCAAGATTTTTGAAAAACCTAATTCTGAAAAAAAATCAAAGACAACACAATAATTTTATAAAAGTTTATTGTAACTTACATCAATGTCGTGAACGACTTTGCCATCAACATCAATATAATCAAAGGACATTTCAAATTTATTCGGGAATATGGCAGATCTTTTGGTTGCAGGGAAACCGCTGCAGTACAATCCTTCCGGTAGCTGAGAAATTTTTGAAACATTAATATTCTTTTCAGAATTATGACCTTTCAAACCTTTCAAACGAACTAATCAGCTTCCAAAAAAGATCATGCTTAAAAAAATCGAAAAGAAAATTTGATAAACTGTAACGGGACATTACTTGCTAGTAAATGGAAAATGACAAAAATATTAAGATGAGAGCATAAACAGAATTTTAAAAGAAGCAGCCAAAATGCTCACTTCTGTCTCCAACTGTGCACCAGTTAACATCTCAAGTTGTGTAATCTCAAGAGAATCATGCCCAGTTAATATTAAATTAGTATCTGAAACAAAATTATGATAGCATCAATAAGCTGATAAAACTATGTTTAAAGAGAAAGTATAAAATCAGCAGAAATATTAGAGAATTAAAAAGTCTCAAAGATACAAAAGTTTGAGAATAACAAAAGACATATTTTCAAGAACATACCGTTAAAAGTAGCCAGCTGCAAAGACAAAATATATGGATTTTTAACGGTTGAGGAGTATGAGTTCTGAGAATGTTCACCTGCATATGCTGCTTCCAACTAAAGTGCACTCTTTCAAATAATGCGCAAGCAAAGACTTCACTTATTCTTAACATATGTTGCAATAAAAGTTAAACTAAAATATTCGCAATATCATGCTAATGGAATCATTATCAGACTTCTCGGGTAACTGGAAATAGAGTTAGTCTTTCACACTGCGTACTATTCAAAAGTTGAAATTAATAGAAGATTTCAACTTACACTACCTGTAACGTTCTATTCTTTCTTTTATGACAACCAAGCCATAAAACTGCATCAATTCCACCAACTTCTGTTTTATTCCGCAAATGACCATGGTTGAAATTGGCGTAAATGATGGATTTTATCAATTCAGCCATTGTTATAATAGTAAAGTTGTAGCTTTCCGCAAGCTGTGGCTGTAAATATATTGCTGGTAGTGCTGTAACATTTGGTAAAGCCGCACATGAAGTTTCTGAAAATTAATTTCTGAAAATAAGCTTCTGAAAAAGAAAACAAAAAATTAAAATTTAAAGGAAATAATATTCGAAACGATATAAATAAAAGAATCATGAAATAAAACAAGTTAAAACCAATCAAGCAAGTTTACTACTGCATGAACGTTCAGAATCTCACCACTCTATATAATGACAGATTCTCCAGTCCTACATAAATAGCAGTCTTTTCCAAACACTCTTACTTTTCATTAATCATATTGACTTGATTGATAAACCACCAAATACATCGTCATAAAAAAGTAAATAAAATTCTTGGAAAAAAAATTTTTCTTTCTATAAAAAAACTATTCTTACCATTATAGGTATAATTGCGGCTTCCCAGAATGAAATGAGTTGTGCCAGTGTAACGCGATTCGATCGTAATGTGAGTTTCATTTGCTGTATGCCTTTCGGTAATCAAACTTGTTACATTTGTAAGCCAATTGGTGCGTCGAACCACTGTCTACAATGCATAAATTCTCGGAAAAAAAAAATAAGATAAATAAACAAGTGGATCAATATAATGCTAAAATATAGCTACATTCCAACTATTACTCAGCTGTCGCCTAAAAAAGAACTGCTTTTAACATTTCTTCCCAAGCATCAATCAGTCAAGCAATCAGTTATCAGACTTCAAATATTCAGAAATGATATAGCAATATATCCTATATATAACATAAGCTTACCTTATAACTACCATTCAATGCCAAAGTTTTTGGAAGCAAATCCTTACGTGATCCATTTATTTGTTTTCCACATTTAAATTCGTAGCAATTCACTAACACAGCTGGTAATATCGTAAACCAATACCAAATCATAACTGCTAAGAAAAAAGTAAGTACTGGGTAAAAATTTACAAAGAGTATAGCAAATAAATCATATCATTTCCAATAATGATTGGAATATATTTAAAAAAGCATAGAAACAATTATTAGAATATATTAAACTATGATGGAAAGGTAGATAATAAGCTAATAGTCCAGGAACGTGAACAGACTACACTGATAGTTAGGTGTTATTTAAAATCAGTGGAAACAAAGGATATAATAAGTAAACCTAAGTCATTTAAATAATAAATTACAATGAAATTATGTATATTATATATCTAAAATCATTTTTTTTCATATAAAAATTTGCATCAAAATTTCCGAACGTCAAACAATGAAATTTACTTTTTTATTTTTTTCGATGTAATAAGTCAAAACAATATTATGCCTGTTTTGCAGGAATATAGCTATTCTAACCGCAAGCGTACCCACCGAGAATATTGTCATCCTCCCAGAGCATTGGCATTGAGCCAATGATAGCAGTACACTGTGATTCAAATTATCATTCCTGCTTATCATGCTTGTGTCACAGTAGTCTTGAGTAAATATGCTTCTAACCTTTGACCCTAGTTGGGATATGTACGTATATATATGCAGTAAATAAGTATATGAATTGAAATCTTACCAAATTCTATTGTATTGTAAACCTATGCGTGTCAATTGTGTCTGATAACGTGTAGTGATAGTATGATGCTATTTATTATCATATGACATTTACTTATAATGCATACATTTTATATGATGCACTTTTTAGCTCTAGGAAAACGACTGACGAAAAGTGAAATTTGTAATGTTGAAATTGTATTATTTATTATTTCTCTTTCTTTTTCACTTCTCCAACTTCTAGTTACTACTTTTTATCCCTACTATTTGTCACTCTTTTCATTTTTGTATAACTTTCGTTTAGAAAACTATTCAATTCTAAAATAATTAATTTGACTAAAATAACATACAAAAAAGTTGTAAGAATTCATGATGGATTTTTGGAATATATGTTACATGTTCTGAAATTTTCATGGTATTCCCTCTTATTTTATATTCTTCACAAATTGTAGTAAAATAGATATCCTTTACAGTATTTCAAGAAGGTAATCACATTCGTTCTGAACTATTCAACAGATGAGATTTTATGTGTTCGTGAATCCTTAACGGATCACAACTTCTATTTTGAAATTTTCGATTTTGTTAAATTTCTTGTTACAGTTAATGAAGGTAAGTTATTTTCGACGAAAATAATTGCGGAATATATAAATTCTGAAATTTTGACATTTCATGAAATTGGCAAATAAATTTTTATTTTAAATCATTTATTTGCATTTAGCTTTCAGTACTAATACTACTATTACCATTATTACTACCATTATTATTGTTGTTATTGTTTTATTATTATTACCATTTTTATTAGGATTATTATTATTCCCATTATTTTATTATTATTATCATCATTATTACTGTTATTTATTGTTGCTATTCATTATTATATCATTATTACTTTTGTTTCCGTTATTATTACTATTATTGTTAAAATGTTCTTCGTTACTATTATTATTACAATTATTTTTATTGCTGTTATTTTTATCCTTATTATCAGTTTTCAGCTTCTTCTTTCACATTAGTATTTCATTAGAATAATGCCAGCAAGCCTTTCAGCAATAGGAAAATCAGGATGGGATGGAATCTGGATAGTATACCAACTGCTTTTGTCGATGGAGTAATATCAATTATAATCTTTTTGAACTCCTGGAAAATTTGAGTTCGATTAAAAAATTTGATTAAATATAGAATATTTTAATCAATCAATATTTGTGGACTGGTTTTAGTCGTTTTTACTTTCATTACTTGTAATGAACTGTTTCTGTATTCTTATTATTATTTTATTATTATTATTATTATCATTATCATTAATATTATCATTGTTATTATTATTATTAGTATTATTATCATTAATACCATTATTATTGTCATTACTATTATTATCATTATTAATTTCATATCATTTATGTGAAGCTTTCATAGTTTTACAGTTAATCAATTAGGGTAAATTTGAAACGAAGAATAAAAATTTTCAACCAACCACAGGGTTGTCCTCATCATACGCATATCCTGACTCATTAACTTCAGCCGAAGCTGAAAAAAAAATTATTTTGTGTTAAATATTATATCTCTTTAATGTAAAAATTCTGACGGTTGTTAGAAATGATCCATTAATAATTTCAATTATTTTATGATTGTCCTAAATCAAAACGAATCTCTAATTCGAGCCAGTCTTTAGAATAATCATAATAGGCGAGAATTTTTTCAAGGCAATTTTCCAAATTTTTTTTTGCCTTTTTAAACTTATTTTTGTTTATTAAATTTGGAAGTCATACATTTCACTTTCTTGAAATCTGCCTTTATAACATTCTTCTGGGGATCAGATTCAGATATTTCTGATTCCTCTTCTTGTTCAACAGGTTTTGATGCATAAATAATCTTTTCTTTCTGGCCATTTGATAGAATTGATACTTCTCTAATATCATTCCGATCAGCAGAGTCATCATCAACTACATCATCGTTATCACTATAATCGGCTTCAATATGAGATTCTTGTATTTTCAAATCCGATTTCTTGTCAATCGCATCTTTTCTTTCCGGAACAACATCGCTGTCGGATTGATCAGAATCTATTCCTTTTGGTTGAGTTACACGATATCCTTCATCTTGAGGTGAGCCATTGGAGAATTCAGAATGATTTCCTCCACTTGTCGTTTCATCTACAGTATTTTCAGTTATTTGTTCATCAGATGTGCTTGTTGCAAGATTGTTATCTTTTGCTGATGTGCTTAATGAATCTGGCTGTTTGTTCATTGCAGTCACCTTCTTCTCTGTAATTACTGGTTGTTTTTCCTGTATAATTTTCTTTTTCTTCTTTATTATTTTTCTGAAATATGTACCATTAGCGAAATAATTTATTATACTCATCGTTTCATTTGAAAAATTTCCAGTTAACTGTCCTTTAATATTTGCGCCATCCATTGTTGTGTTTAGTGTTGTCTTCACAACAGTCTTCTTTCGTATAACTTCTGCTTCTCTTCCTTGTCTACTCTTAATCATTGATTTTTGTGCTGTTCTAAAATCTGAATTATTATCGAATTCAGAAGAATTTCCTATATTCATCGTTTCATTTGTTTTCAGCTCTTTTTTAATTTCATCTCTGAGGTTAGAATTCATCCCATCCTCGAATTCATTTTGTGCATAAGTCAGAGAGAGTGGATCGATTAGGTGACTGTATCGTGGATTTCGACGAACAGCATCACTGGTCTCTTCAATCAATTTTTTCAATTCCAAAGTGAAATTATTGATTTCCGAAATATTTTCCGCATTTAAATGTTGTTTTTTACTGCTATTAAGCTGATCATTCATGATATTATTTTTCTTCTGAAATTTTGCAATTTCATTTCTAATATGTATCAATCCGTCTTCTTTATTGTAGCCTTCATCATTTTGTCGTGTGTTTGCTTGAGAGCGATTAGCTAGTGACATTGAGTGTAAGTATGCCAATAGTGATACTGCCTTGAATATATTTCGCAAATTAGATGGGTCATATAGTTCCACTCTGGTTGCATTTTCCGGATTGGTTTGTCTATCTACAGCTTGGTTCTCACCAAAAGCCAACATTGCTGGCAATTTTTGAATAAGGGATTTCACATATTTCTCATCATTTTCTTCACTTTTCTGTGAATCATTTTTTCCTTGAACAATAAATTTGCCATGCTGGTTATCAATTCTGTCTAAATATAAATAAATTCTATCTAAGTGTACGAATTGTTGATCTATTTCGATTTACAAACAAAATTTCCTTCTTCTCTACGATGTTCTTAGTGCTTTTTTTGACTTATTGAATCTAGAATCAGAATCTAGGATCAATTTTCTATTTATTTACTGTTATTTTTCAAAAAAATATAACATATTGGAGAACAGGTACAAAAAGAAAAAGGCAGGTATATGATATAGTATTTCTAGGAAATTTTTAATCTTTTGAAGAAATAATTGGATAATTTGTTCATTTTTTTTCTTTTTTTGTCTTTTGGAACAAATGTTATCCTAAAGGAGGTGATAGTAAAAAATTTTGTTCTATTAGTAGTTTACATTTAAGGAAAGCGAGTCACATATATGTGTGCATATGTTTAAAATATTAGCAAAAATTATAATTTGCATAATGGCAAATTATTTATCACATAGTGTGGAATGTACACTTTCGATAGGTTAACGAAAGCTAAACAGCCAAAAGAATGAAAGTAATAAACATGTCTTCTACTATAAATATGTTTTTTCGTTATTGAAACTATGCAAGACCGGGTCCGGTAAGCAACAGTATTATTATTTAGAAAAAAATCTATATTAAACATATTATCTGAGTTTCACTGTCTAATGAATTTCACTACATATCAAGAAGTACGCAAATTGTGCTATGAAACCATTTATTGGCTTCATCTTCATGTCAAATTTCTATCGTAAAGAAAGAATCGATTATTCGGCTGTCTAGAAATTTTTCTGTACAAAAAAAAGAAACGTTTTTAAGCTAATTAACATCACAGTGAAAACATTTTTTTTTTCTTTCAAATTTTCGTATTTTAAACACATACCAATAATACTAATTAAACCAAATAAGATTAGTAATTTTGGCAACATTATGGGTAAAAAAGTCTTTTTATCACCGCCAAATTTGCCCAGTAAAAAAAAGCTACACTTCAGCTAAAAAAGTGTAGAAAATGAAAATAACATTGTTGCATCTTCCTTTTATATCATTTATTTACCTGAAATTATCATACGTAATACAAGTGTTGTATACATTATCTAAAATTATAAGCATAGCAGTTGCAAACAGTTATTCCAAATTTCTCTCTATCCGTGTGTAATAATGAAACGAACGATTGTATACGGCTTTTTGAATTAATGATTGCATACAGTTTTCCGAATTTTCCTCTCCTCGGGATAGTAATGCATTCTTGGCTAATTCTAATCAATCAGAAGCAATGAATAATTTCACTTCTAGGCATTTTGGTTACTTTGACTAATAAGTATTGATGTATAGCACTAATGAACTAGCTTAGTAGAAATTTTACGATAAAGAAATGGGATGATATTTATTTTTATGTTTAAATCTTTGGGATAATTATTTCACCTTGGTAATTTTAATTATATTTCTAATTTTAACTATAATTATTTGTTGTAGTTTTACGACCTTAGTAATTTTAATTATAAATGGTATGATTAAGTTACAAATCATTTCCGATGTCAATTTAATGCTATAGTATTAATCTTGGATTGATTCCGTTCTTGATATCGAATTATTTCGAATTTCTAAAAATGCTACTTTTTGTCCTTGCGAAATATTCTTTTCTTCCTTAGATTTTTCGGAATTAAAATATTTAAAAATTTTCTGAAGTTTTGGTAAAGAAATTTTGGATAATATAAAGTTATTAATAGGAATTGTAGAATTAAAATATTAATATTGTCGCTTTAAGTTAGGATCATAATTTAAAATGATTTAATTTAGACTTAGATTAAGTTAGCAATAAAAATATTAGCTTACCGAATTACTAACCACAATTGTAAATATCTTAGTTTTTAGCAATAATGCCAGTTTTGCAGTTTAGAATGTTATGCGTGAACATGTTCGAAATTTTTCTACGGTGAATTTGATAATAATATTAATGCTTACTTTAGGCACGAAATCTTTATTTATATCTTCGATTAATAAAGAATGGATCCAACTAATTGCTAGAAATTCGAAAACTGAAGCAATGAATTTCGATTTCTAGCATTAAGCCGGCAATTGGAATGTATATCCGGCCGAAACCTGCAAATCTTGCTACACTTATCATCATAATATTTTTCTTCTACCTGGGATATCTGATTTGGGAAAAAGAAGAGCATTTTCCGGATGTTGTTATTGAGCTCCATGATTTACTAAGGTTGTTAATGGTTCATTTTTTGAATTAAATTAGAAGAGTTGAAACCTATTAAATATTCAAGTTTTTTTTTTATTAAAGTCATAATTCTTACACTTAACCATTCTGAGACTGTAGTGTTTGCAGCTCTTTTTGAGTCGAGGATGAAATGATAGTGATCAGATATATCTTACAGAGAAATCGGCATATCTTATTTAATTTTTTTAACAGTTAATATCGTATTTTTAAAAAAAAAATCGTTTACAGCTATGTGCTTCTAGCTACAGAACTAGGTGGTCGTGCTATCCTAGATGTTAGTGATGGGGGAAAGTTAAATGCTTTTAAAAAAGCTGAGACGGATGTTGGTAAACCGGAACTTTTGACGAGAGCTGATTTGCTGTCAAATCAACTTATAATCAATGTCCTGAAAAGATATCCAGGTTTAAGGGTAGATTGCATTCGTTTCTTTCAAATTATTGGAGACCGAGAAAAGATTTATTTATTTCAGTAATAGATCAAAATTTTCAGTTTTTGGACGAACTTTTAGATTTCAGCTTCCAAATATAATAATTTTTTTTTTTTTTTTTGATTTTATTTAACTTTTATACTTTTAAAAAGTACAGTGAAGTGCATGATATGAATTCAGATCATTTCTGAAGAAAAAGAAGAAAAGCTGAATGCACTGGATTATGAAAAATATATGTCACAGCAGCAGGAACTTTATGATGATGTGAAAACTATTGTTGATTTATTTCCATCAAGAAAATATTTGTTATCAAAGTTAACTGTTTGGGTTGATCCATTGGATGCAACGCAAGAGTTTGCAGGTAACATTTTGGATTTAACTTGCATAACTATCTAAATAAATGCAAAAATTTCTAACTCCTTTTCTGTCTAGAATTTTAGGAATGAAAATTTGTAGTTTAAATATCTTTTCATTACTTACTGATGTTCGCCCATTGCTTCGTGGATTAATAAATACATGAAAATTTTAACGAGAGTTTAATTATGCTTATATTACATATCTCAAAACCCATTAGTTTTTTTTTTTTATCTTCCTTGTTTATATAAAGCATACAAGTTTATGGCAGTACTGTTTATATTTTCTAGAAGGTCTGTTTGAATATGTTTCTGTAATGCTTTGCATAGCATTGGATGGCATACCTATCTTTGGTGTCATCTATAGACCGTTCACTGGTGAAAAGGGTTTGTTTTCTTTTTTTTTTTTGCTATGTTGCAATTATTTGAAGCAAACTGCAATTTGGTGATCAGTAGTAATTAGATTACAAAGTGAAGTAATTCAGAAGTAATCAATGGTTTTTCAATCTTCGTTCGTTTGTTTCTTATGTCATCAACGCATTTCAAATTTATAAGTTCTTATTTCTCAGTTTATGGTTTAAATGAATTTGGGGTCGTGAAAGGAAATGGTGATAAATGGGATCGTATGATTTCGAAGAACAATTCAAAATTGATAATGGTTTCCAGGTAATTACTCTTTTAAGGTATTGTATTTTCGGGATTCTTGGAGGATTTGCTTTCATTTATTTAAATAAGTCATGGAGTTTTGTGAATGGAAAAGATAATGACTATTCTTGGCCAATAATAATGCATTTAAGTTGGTCGTAGCAGAATGACGAAAGCTTTAAAATTTCGGTACTGTCATTAACACTTGTGTTGGATATAGAAATAGTATGGCGACAGTGTTTCCATGAATCTTTCCTTTCTATGTGTCTTGGAATCTTTTCTTTTTTAAAAAAGCAAAACAAAGAAGAAAATTTTGGTAATAGAACTGCAGACATCTTTTTATTCTTCGAGTTTCACAAGAGTAAAAGGATTCGAAAAGAAAAAATATTTGGTTCATTTAATAATGGAATCTTTTTAATGGTTCCTTTTCCAGATCACATGCCGGTAATGTAAGAGACGTGGCACTGAATGCCTTCTTTTCCAAATTTAATGTTGAAGCAGCTGGTGGTTCTGGTTACAAATCGCTGAGGTTGTTGAATGGCACTGGTGGTAAGTTCACTTGTATGGCAAGAAATCAAAGAATTTCCATTTAACATTTACTTTTCTTATTTTAATTTAGTTGCTGATATCTTTCATAACTTTAGAAAAATGTATGAAATTGCGATGTCTTTTGAAGATTTAAACTCGCTGTACCTTTCCGGATCTTTTTAAGACTTCCTGCCTAGTATTTTGTTTTGACTATTTTACATGTTTAAACCACTTTAGAGCTGTATATACACAAGACTGCCATTAAAAAGTGGGATACCTGTGCCGGTGATGCTTTGCTTCGATCGATTGGCGGTTTAATGCTTGATTTCAATGGTGATATGTTGAGTTACGATCCAAATGATGATTATGTCTTACGAAATGGTTTAATAGCTGCTGCACAGTATCCTTTCACTTATTATCAACAGTTGCGACAACATTTGAACAGCACTTCGATTAAAGAATAGAATTCTCAGTTAAATCTAGAAAATTCCAAGCAATGTTTCAAATTTTCTAGCTCCTAGAATACCTCATCTTTTTAGGATTTTTTTAATCACTTTTCTTGTTAAATGGTTTTAATTTAATGAACTATGCTATTATTAAGGCATCTTTTGCTTATTCTTTTCTGATATGCCATAAATGTATGCTCAAGTATTTGGCTTTTGAAGTATCTCATTTTTTTCTTAGTTTCTTGACCTTTTTCTTTTTGAAACTTTGAATTCTAACTCATTATTTTTAAACTACTATTTACACCTTAGAATTGTTCATCCGAAGTAATGCTATTGTGCTTTATTCTGATGAAAAGCTGTAAGGCTTGGGATTGTTACATACATAACTTATTTCCAAATATTTTAATTTTTCACACCAGTGTTCTCTTGGCACAAGAAAGTTAAAAGAGAAGTACATAGAACAGTGCTAAGATAATATGCAAATATTGGCACATACTTTTTTTGGACTAACAGTTATACTGAGTGAGATTTGAATGAATTAAAAATTTTCAACCCATCCATCCAAATTCGTTGAATGCATTCTTTTGATTTGCCCTACAATAATTGTACTGATGGATAATATTTTTAATATACAAATAAAAAAGGAATTTCACATTTGACATTTAATTATTCCATATCGCTAATGCATAATTATGATTTGTTTGACTTTCATCCTTCATTTCTGACTGAAAAATTATTACAAAATTGTACAGGGTAGCTGCATTTCAAATTTTGCTTGCTTATTTTTTTGCCTTTTTTTATTTGTTACTAAATTTGTTTACTTTTCCTTATTTTTTAACTTTAGCTTCCAATAAGTTGGTCGCAGTTTTCAACAAGGGAACTTGTACGCTTGTAAATTTCTGAAAAATTAGATTAGACTTTTCTTGCTTACTTGAATGCTTACTTCTATATTTACAGTGTTTCTTTGTATCGTTGATAACTTCCATTTATTGTTAGATAATTTCTTTTTTCTTTTTTGTTGCAAGCAATGTTTTACAATTTTTTTTTTTTTCATTTTTTATTATCTATACTTGGAAGATCACTTGATTATCCTCCTGAAACTATCCACTGCAATTTATATTACCGGTTGGTTTGACGTTATGTTAAGTTATATTTTGCATATATCTCTCCCAAAAATAAAGTCATGATATAATCTTTAGTTTAGACTGTCCATCGTTTCCATAAATTGTCTTCGTTCCTTGTTTATCACTGCAACAGCTAATTGATTCAATTTAATTAATCTTATCATTTATAATTCCTATGTATTTGCAAAACAAAATTATTGTTAAATAAGCATTGCGAAACTGTACATTACCTTAAACTGCACTAAATTACGAATTTCTGGGAATATTGATTCATTCTGCAACAAATGTTTTGCGTGCATGTTTAATCATACATAATGAAAATATGTTTCTAATTTATTGCATTTATAATATTATCATTTCAAATTTTGCGCAGATACACATTGACTAATATTAATAATGCAAGTCAGTGACGCGTAATTATCTCATAATTGATTAATGAAATGTATAATACGGTTCTCACTTTATTATGATTTTTCGAAATTACTTTAAAAAACGAGTAATCATTTTTAGTTTCGGAATTCAGTTATGAATGAAGTTTTGATAGCATTTCTTTTTTATGTGGGGCATATTTCTTTTTCAGTTGAAGTGAAATGAACGAAATAGAAAAAATTTTGAATGACTTGGCAATTCGTAAATTTCAATTAGCATCAGAATTTCTAGCATTGAATAAAGAAATGCAAACAATTCTCGATAATTATCGCCTCAATCTATCTAAAACCAAGTAAAGTCTTTCATTCAAATTATTAATATTGATTGCAATATATGATCATTTGTTGTGGATTTATTGATAAAAAGATTTGTTTGGTGGAACCTGTCAGTTTTTTAACTATGATAAATGAACTTACTGATGCTATAAGAATGATTTTACATCATCTTAATTGCTTTAGGTTTAATGTTAATTTTGTACCTGAGATAAGATCTTATAGTTGTGCTATAGAGATAATAACATGTAAGATTTTCAGCAATGCACAGTTCATATAGTAATTTCAGTATTGCTTGCTATATTTAATCATAAATGTTATTTCTCTCAAACGTATGATGATTTTCAGGTCAATTTTAGGATTATCAGCAACAAGTGCTGCATTTATCGATAATCGCGATTTGGAGCCAATTATTCGGTTTGTTTCGAGATAATCATTTCTGTGGTAACTGTTGCACTGTTTGTCAGTTTCAGTTTAATATAGTTATTAAACAAAAGTGGTATGAAAAATGAAAATGCTTAAGAAATTTTATGAAGTTTTAAAATTTATATATATATATATATATTCGTATCATTTGTCTGTGAAAATATGCTTAATGAAATGGTTAAACAGTCATCAAAAAGAAACGATAAACGATTTAAAATGTTTGATGTGTTTGATAACTATATTAAAAGAATAATAAACGGTAAATTTAATAAATGTGCTAAAAAAACATCGAACATTTTAATAGCCTCTAAATTAAATAAATAGTTCGATGGTAAATTTGTGGCTCTTCTTCAGAAGATCATAACTCATAGTTATATGGGTTGATTTATGAGCTATACAAAAGAAATAATATTTTTGATAATTTATAAAAATTTCGTTTTAGAGAAAGATAGTAAAGGGATTTGTTGTTTATTGATAGTGAGTGAATAAAAATTTATGAAACAAACAGAATGGATGAAAAACATAGCATTAAATTTTATCTTCTATAAATTTTTGTTGCTAATAAACAGTTTTGTTTATTTATAGGATTGAAATAAATTCAGATGGAGTGTTTTCTGTAATACCAAATGATGCACCGAACAAAGCAGTTGGAGGTTGTCAGTTTCGTCCATTTGGTATCCTGGAACCATTATGCGCAAAAGCCGCTCGACATGACGTCATCAAAACACTGCCGCTGATTTGTGAAATAGCTAGTATAAAATACAAATTGAAAGAAGTGGATGACGAATATCGTAAAGCGAAAGAATCTTCGGCTTTGATTATCTAAACTATATTTTTATCATATCAGTCATCAAGTTATTAATGCAATTTATCTGCTGGTTAGCATCATTTAATCTACTGTAATATCTGCTATATTTCTTTAATTACGCTTCCTTAATGTCAAATATGCTTTAACATTGAACTGTGATTTTTTAAGAAGTAAAACATAATTTAAAATATAAATTTTTTCATTTCAGCATATTATCTTTTCCAGTCATAACAGAGATATTTTCTGGTTTTCCCAACTTCACATTAATTGTTTGAATTTCATCAAAACATTCTGATGCATAAGTTCAGTGATTAAAAGCTGCCATTAAAACTGCATCGTGCGTAATATATTAAATGCTAAATGAGAAGTTACAGGAAAAGCTGACAATTTAATCAGTCTAATTTCATGGTATGTATATATGATTGTTAATAACTGACTGACACACCGAAACACTGCTTTTTGAAATTATTCATTAGTCATGAAGGCTTTATTACCATAACTGATTTGTATTTTTACGATGTGATTACTATTGGTATTATTGCGAGTGAAAGGATTTAATTGGAGGATTTAATTGGTGCGAAATGAAAAATTATCCGATTTGGTTATCCAAGTTTGTTTCTTTTCAAAATCCACAGCTTCTGAATTCTTAGATAAAATCAAGACAGCTATCTTTTAAATTTGCTTCTGGCTGAAATTAGTATTAGTTTTCATTTTATTTGGTGTGACACTTGAGAAATAATTAAATTGAATTATTTTACAGCGAAGTTAGTATCTAATCTTACTACTACCTAACACTACCAACACTACAGGTTCTCTGGTAGACATACAAAAGAAACTTTGTTTTTGAGGCATAAGTTTTCATAAAGAGCTGGAACCCATCATTTAAGTTTGTGTGAGTATGAATTTGCGCGGGTATGCTTTGGATCGATTTCTGCTTGTTGACATGACTGCGTCTGTTTTGTCATCTTTTAGGTTGATCTGATCATAATTCATTTGTTTAACAGGTAAGAATGCGATAAAGCTACAATAATGGTAGTGGCGTCGAAAGTTAAAAAGCATATTGTACTAAAAAGGAGCAAGAAATCGGATAGTGGAAAGACGAAGAAAAAGAAGAAGCAAACGCTGAAATATAATATTGAGTGTAAAAATCCTGTAGAAGATGGTATTATGAATGTGAACGACTTTGTGAGTTTTTTTTCTTTTTTTTTTCGGTTGTTAAAACTTCTTAAGAAATTAGCTTTGTGGGAGTGATGTTATTGTCATGCTTGGCTCATCTTTTCTGATGTTACAGTTCTAATAAAAGTGCTGTGGAGGGAAATTGAACACCATTTCTACGGACGGTCACAAATTTTTTTTTCTGATTTAATGTGGAAGATGTTACTGCATTTTTGTGTAAAATATTTTCTTCTCTTTTGACTTCCTCTATCATAGTTCATAATCATTTTCAACGAACATTAGTAGTTGAAGGTGACCATTTCTGTTGAAGACATCAGGCATAGTAGAATAAAGAGCGCAATGGAAATGCTTGATTTCCTATGCATATTGCTGTCCCTTATTGAGACCCGATGTCTTGATTGCAGGGGACATTTCTAAATGAGCGTATCAAAGTGAATGGAAAAGTTGGTACAATGGCAGCGAATGGTGTAAGATTGGAAGTTACTAAAACGAAGCTTATCCTTACGTCAGAGGTAAGTTCTATGAATCAATTTCATCGTCTTGAGAATAAGTCATGTAAAACTAATTATATGGCTGATTACTTTTATGTCATATTGGTTAATATAAAACTGTACGAGCATTTTTTACTCTTAGGTTCCATTTTCGAAGAGATACCTGAAATACCTCACGAAGAAGTATTTGAAACGCAATTCCCTTCGCGACTGGTTGAGAGTAGTGGCTTCTTCGAAAGATACGTATGAATTGAGGTATTTCCGGATCAACCAGGATGACGAAGATATTGGTGACAATAAAAAGGATGATGAAGATGCTGATAACAATAAATGATTGCTCTTTTTTCTTTACTCTGGACTTGGATTACCTCCGAAATAATAAACAGTAGCGGAGGTAATTAGGTATCATTCTTAACACTGTTTTGTTACATATAGACAAAATTCTCCAGTCGTTCTTGTTTCTGCGTAAGAGGAAAATGATGTCCACATGGTCCTATTTTTTTGCATCATATGAGAAAATTGTCGTTGTGATGATTTCTGAATGAGCTTAAAGACTAAATGAGCTTAAGGACAGAAAATCTAACTTAGACGAACGGGTTATTTTCTCATCAAATTAATACATAAATATAAGAGGATTTGCTGTATGTGACATTGATTATATTGAGCAAGTAGATGTCTGCAAGAGTTTGGCGCTGTGGGAAAACCGAAAAAATTTTTATTACACTAAGTGTTTAGAATAATGCTATTGATTCATTACTATAAACCAATTGGTTATTCCTTTGTTATATCCCGTTTTTTTGAAACACTGAATTCTTTATCTAAACCTCAAATAGTAAATGTACATCAGTCTCCATTGTAAATGTTAATCTGCTAAGCCAGTCTACTTCCTACATCCTTAAAAATCTTTTCCAATCAGTTAATTAAAAAAAGAATCGGTGGCAGGTCTTCTCTTCTTCCTTTTCAACAGTACCACTTATTCCTTCGCCGTTTCAATTATTCCACTGTACATTGTATCAGTTCACATTTACAAAGAAAATAAATCATATCTGAGTCGATCTCGCAGATAAAAAGCAAAAGGTTCAGTTCAAATTCTACAAACTTAAAGTAAATCAAGTGAACTTATCTAACTTGAGTCATCTATTCTTTCGACCAAGAAGTTACTTCAAATTCACGACAGGCATACTTATTCGAGTGACAAAATCTATCAGTTCAGATCAAAATGCTAAGTTCTCGATATCTGAATCTGCTATAGGATTTAATTTTTTTTTTTTTTTTTATAATTTGTTTATCTCAATTATTCTGTGCTTAAGTTATTATTTTGTCGAATACAAATACAAATTAACGGTGTTTTTTCAACGGTATATTTTGGTTAATGAATAGTATGCATTCAATGCTGACGATATTTTGCCAAAAACAATTGTCGCGGATTTTTAACATTTAAAATAATATAAAAGAAAAAAAAATGAATGAGAGTAGAAAATAAGGGTAGGAGGCATGTCCTATGAACCCTTTACAAAATAATGTTTACACTTTTCCAATAAATTTTAAGTTTAAGCTGTAAACATTGTTTCCTACTTAATATTCATACCTTAATATTTTAATATTTCTACCTTTCTCCTTTTTCATTCCATTATCACTATTACCCTTCAAATCTAACAAAGAATTCATTTTGACCAGTCCCATTTTAATATTATATATATCCAATTGTCAGAATTCAACCACAAGATTTCCATTAATTGTACCTCAATTCCTCTTTATAAAATATATTGTACTGTTGTTTCTATTGATAAAAAAATTATTCTACTTCTGTGTTATCTCAGATATTAACATCTACATCCGAGATCAGGAAATTTCTCTCAGAATAATTTACTATAAATTATAAATGTCGAGTGAAATTTGAATCTCCAGCTTGCTAATTCCTGCAGCCTTTAATCGATTCACTTAAGATTTGTTTTGTCTTTCTATATTTAAATGAAATGTTGTTGCTTTCATGATTAACAATTGAAAAAGAAAATGAATTTATATCCATGAATAATTTGCCTTAAATCAACGTTATCCTTTGGGAAACTGAAATAGCGTTGGTCTGTAGAACACAGATGGTCTTGTATAAATGCAGGGGGTAACGAGAAAAAAAGCTACACATAATTGATGGATATTTAATATGATAACAAAGATATTTTAGTATCCATGTAAAGGAAACTTGTAAAAAGCATAAAATATACAGCAAAGGAAATAAGATATAGCGTTCTAATGCATCCATTACCAATTATTAACCTTACCCGCTTTTTCCTAACTTTTTTTTTTCTTTTCTTTGAATGAATCAATAACAATGAAGATTTCTTTTGACTTTCTTGATGTCAAATAGATACACTACGAACAGTCTTCTAGAACTGAATACTATGCCGCAAAGACCGCAGACAATCTTGTTCTCATGGTGGGAAACGAGAGAATAGGACCATGTAAACATCAACTTCCCCTTAAGCCAGAATTAATGAAGACTGGAAAATTTTTGTCTACACATAACTCTTAAACAGTGCTGTTAATGATGCCCAATTATAACCGAAACATTCGCATGTTGTATCAGACAATGTTAGCCACCGTTTATCATCATCAAAGTAATGCAAAATCAACAGCAAAAAAAAAAAGATCAGGATTCATTGTCACTATCATCTTCATCATCCTGATTAATCTGGAAATATCTCAATTCATACGTATCTTTCGAAGAAGCCACCACTCTCAACCAGTCGCGAAGCGAATTGCGTTTCAAATACTTTTTCGTGAGGTATTTCAGATATCTCTTCGAAAATGGAACCTGAAAATATTAAAACTGTACGTTTCAATATTAACCAATATGACATAAAAGTAATCAGCCATATAATTAGTTTTACATGACTTATTCTCAAGACGATGAAATTGATTCATAGAACTTACCTCTGACGTAAGGATAAGCTTCGTTTTAGTAACTTCCAATCTTACACCATTCGCTGCCATTGTACCAACTTTTCCATTCACTTTGATACGCTCATTTAGAAATGTCCCCTGCAATCAAGACATCGGGTCTCACTAAGGGACAGCAATATGCATAGGAAATCAAGCATTTCCATTGCACATTTTACCCTATGCCTGATGTCTTCAACGTACAAAAACGGTGTCGCCTTCAACTACTAATGCTCGTTGAAAATGATTACGAACTATGATAGGGAAACTCAAAAGAAGAGAAAATATTTTACATAAAAATGCAGTAACATCTCTCACAATAAACCAGAAAAAAAAATTTTTTGTGACCGTCCCGTAGACTCATCGAAGCATTTTTGGGCTGAAATGAGATGTGCAAGACGGCTACTTCAATTTCCCTCCATCCCCCAAAGCTACAGCACTTTTATTAGAACTGTAACATCAGAAAAGATGAGGCAAGCATGACAATAACATCACTCCCACAAAGCTAATTTCTTAAGAAGTTTTAACAACCGAAAAAAAAAAGAAAAAAAACTCACAAAGTCGTTCACATTCATAATACCATCTTCTACAGGATTTTTACACTCAATATTATATTTCAGCGTTTGCTTCTTCTTTTTCTTCGTCTTTCCACTATCCGATTTCTTGCTCCTTTTTGATACAGTATGCTTCTTAACTTTCGGTGCCGCTACCATTACTATAATTTTATCCCATTCTTAACTACTAAACAAACAAACTACAATCAGATCAACCCAACAAGCCAGACCCAACCTCACCAAACCAACCCAAAACACTGACACCAAACCTACACTCAGACCAACATAGGCCCAAATCGTGTGTCTCGACTCCTTATGAAAATTTGTGTTTCAGGATAAAATTCACTTTATATTTCTAACAGAGAATGTGGTAATATTGGTAGTGTTAGGTAGTGGTGTAATGGTGTCAGAAGAGCCAAATTGTTATATGCCAAGCTAGATTTGTATTAAATCATAAGATTAATTAATAAATCTTTCATCGAATACCATTTTGGAATTTTGCAGTTTGTTAATAAAGAATATGTGCGTTTGCTTAATGTGTCGAAAATTGCTTCCAGTTTTATGGTTAAGATCTTCCAGTTTATAGGTTGCTATCTCTTTGTTCAGCTAACATCCTTTACTCCTTTCCAAACTTATTTGCAGTGTCGAAAAATGATAAATTGTAAGTGTTCCAATCTGACAATCAGTCTTATCAGCAATTGATATAATGTTAACATCCAACTCTTACCTGTACAAGGAGTAAAGATCATCCGATAAAGCCTTGTTGTAAACTATCTCCACTCTGTATACTAAGGAAAGGACATGTGCAAGGTGGTTGGCTACCAGTGCTTTTCACTTTGTTCGTTTTCACCGCCCCTCCAAATCTACTTCTTCAGTTTTTCTGTGCATGAATAAGTTACAATATTTAAACAAAAGTAATTGCTTCTATTATTGTTACTATTATTTTACACAATAAACTTTATCATTTGTTGTGTCTAAAAACATTAATTATGGCTAAATTGGATAAAACCAATTAAAATCATTTAATAATTTTGCTATTTTATTCATTAACGACTAAACAAGAAATTTTTGACTAATTTGTTTAGACAAATGTAAAAAATAAAGAAAGAAAGAAAAAAAATGAAAAGTAACTAGAATGATTCTTTGTTTAAAAGAATTGCAGGAGAAATAATGAAATTATACTTCTAATTGTGACACAAATGGTTGAAATTGATTGCAAGCATTGTTTGAAATTAGCAGATTATTAGATTTGAAAAAAAAAAAACAAAAACAAATTAGTATTACTCAAATTGAAATAAATAATTATAATGTAATAAATAATAAATCCTATCGTTTACTAATTTATAAAATTGTTTAGCGTATTATTTGAACAATCAAATTTTTGTTATTAGTACTTATTCTGCTATTCACACCTTGTATTTTCTTGCATTTCAACCACTCTTTCTTCTAATTTTATCAAAGAATTAAATACATTAAACAATACCAACTGATACTGCATGGAGACTTTGTAAAAGAGCAAGCAAAAATGACTTGAAATTTTGTCTCAAACAAAAGTTGTCCACTCCCCGGCCGGGAATCGAACCCGGGTCTCGCACGTGACAGGCGCGGATACTCACCACTATACTACCGAGGACCACAGGGGACTGATTTTTCAGTACTTAATATCATACATTTTAGTTTTGAATTTAGTTTTTAAAGAATTACTTTTAAATGATTGTTATTAACAAATAATCTTATGAAAATTTCGGCTAATAGTGAAGAATCGATATTTCGTGGAGTTTAATTGACAAGTTGAAAATAAAATAAAAAAAACTATTTAGAAACGCGCGTAAGAAATGATTAAAATTAATTTGTTTTCAAATATTTGTAGAGATATACTATATGATTGTATGCTTTAAAGAAACAAATAAACTATGAAAAATTGAAAGGCTATGCAAATTATAGCTATCATTTTAATTGTGCTTACATTTTCTTATCACTTCTGATTGAATTCAACATATTTTGATTTTTTCTTAACATCCTAATTTTAGCCTTTTCAATTCCTATAATTCAACATTTCATTTCTGCTTAGATTCCATTCACTTCAATTTTATTTTTTTCTAACGCTGCAAATTTTACTTTTATTTCGGAAGTTTTTTTTGTATAAATATAATGATAAATGAATTTATGAAAGAGGACACGGTGTAATGTAGGAAAAGATTTATTCAAACTTAAAGTAAATCATTAAATTTATTTCATACATAGTAATAATTGCACTATGACAATGGACTCTTAACAACTACTGCATAACATTAAAATTCATTCGTCGATTAGTTTTTTTTTTTTTTTTTAGTTTGTTTTCGAACTAATAATAGGCTTTAAATAAAAAATTCTTTCCCCATTAGTCTATCATATAATAATCGATTTGCTATAAATGATACTTGAATTTTCATGAAATTTACATAAATTAACAGTCGAGTAATCATAACTGCAAATTATGTAATTGGATAATGTAGTCGGACAACAAAAGTAGAAATTTGCAAAGAGCTAAGCTTTTTATTTTGTTTTCAGTCTATCATGCTAACTTTTCTGGTATTCTTTTTTTCCTAAAATGGATTAAAGTCTTCGTAAAAGGTAGAACAGACGTTAATATGATTATTCCATTTCAGATTTGGATTTTCTAATTCGAACAGCTGCAACAGCTGATTTAGCCCGTTTGCTGTGTGCGTCTCGGACTCGAGTAACGTGACGTGTAATGGATAATTCCTGACGTAATGACTGATTTAATGGCAAGTCGGATGGGGCAAAAGAACCTTGACGTATTCGTGTTAACTCACGTGATGCACGACAGCTATCACTTCTTCGCGTTATTTGATCTGAAAAAAAACTAGCAATTAACGTGATCAAAATATAAATTTTATTATTGTGAATGTAACATTAAACCCTATCTAATCATAAGTTAATCAACTGAAAAGGAAAATTTACACTGAAAAAAATCAAAACATTTCTTTTCATTATTTAAACAAAGGTTTGGGAATATTACCATAATCTCTTTTATAAATTTAGATTGAAAAAATTCAAAATATTTCTTTCTATTAATTAGAAGAAAAAGATTTGAGAATATTACCATAATCACTTTTATTGTACCATTTCCTTGTACGGTGTCGAAATGATTCATGGATTATTCCAGATTCTTCGATACATTCTGATAATGTTTCATTTGTGTTTGCACGTGAAATTGGTCGTGAACCAATACCAGAATCTACCGGTGAGAAGTCAATACCATAGGTTGATACATCATCCATACCAAAATAACGATCAACATTTGCAAAATTATTTACCTATAAATATTACTGACAAAAAATTAATAAACAAAAAATTAATAATTTATAGATTAAAATTACAATTCGATTTTCAAATTAAAAATCTAAAATTGAAAAATTATAAGTTTACAAGCTAAATTAAAGGCGAAATTAATTGAAGTAAAAAAAAAACTCAAAACTTAATTAACATTGTGCTGTAGAATGATGACTGATAGATGTCGCTAATATTGCGAATTTATTTTTAAAACCATACATCTTCTCTTCTAAGTCAACCATATATCATATACTTTCTCACTTCAGTTTTCACCAACAGAGTTATTCTTACGATCTTATAAATGACATAACTGTGTCATCTGTCATTCGATAAAACGTAGTACAGTCACAACCAATTCCTTTCATCTCATTAGTCGATGATAAAATATGCATTCTTCCTTTTTATTACTAGTATAATCATTAAAATTATCTTGTTAAAATTCTAGTGGCTAAGTTTTATTCTTTTATTAATCATTTTATTAAAATAAAGATTTTATTATTTAAATTTGAGATGACGAGAAGAAAAGAATTAAAGGAGCTTTCGTCATAGTTGACACAATCAGGAAGAAATTATTAACAAAAAGACATGTAGAAGTGACTGATAAACTTTTAGAAGATGACTAGTCAAGTGATAAAAATTTTGAGTAAATTAATTAAATAAGTAATTGTAAAACTTTTATTTTAATTACAAACCATTTTGGATGTATTAGGTCGTTGTTTATAGTATGTGATAGTTTCATGCTTCTTCCTTACAATTTCATTTCCTTTTGTTTCTTTCATCTTTGCACCTACATTAAAATATTGTCGAATATTGCTGATATAAGATAGTTTCATTTGAAATCAAAATTTTTATCTTAAAATAGAAATTTAATTATTACAAGAATGAATGATTTTCTTTTGCTGAAAAAAGTCAACTTTAAAATTTTTATAAACAATCAGAAATTATACCTGTATTGTCAGTATTCCAAAAGTAATTCATCATCACAATTAACAAATCATGGATGAATTGGAATAAAACGATGATTATTGTCCATAAAACTGATGCAATGATTAGTGTTGATCGTGAATTTGCTGAGGAATTAGATGGAAAAGCCTTAAAAGAAAAAAAAAAGAATCTTAGCAACTAAATTAATTAATTAGAAGGTAATTTTAATATGTTGGAAAAAGAAACAAATATAAATTTCTAATATATTTGTTTCTTTTTTCTTCCGAAATTTTAAAACAAACAGTAAATTTTTAAAAGCAATATTATTCGAAAAAAATATAAAAATAGAACACAAACAGATTCATTTCTCGTTAAGTAAATTTCAAAAATTTTCAATTAAATTACAATAATTTATAAATTCGCACATGCATGCAAACTTCTTGCGCTATTTTATTTTGCCTTTTGCTATTACATCGATTACATTCATTATTCTGAAATTCATTACCTTTTAAATAATAATAAATTCCATCGCTAATATTTTCAAAGTTAAAAATTTCATTTTCAAAGAAATATTTGATAATAAGCAGATACAATTTTTTTTAATTTGATTATAAAGCAAAAAATTAGAATTTTTTAAAATGAAAAATTGAAAAGTGAAAAATGTCAAATTTTTCCATTCATATTTACGAAACTAATAAAAAACTTAAAATATCCATTTAATTAATCCATTATTCAAATTAATTATTCCTTTATACAATATAACAATGCAATTAATTATACCTTCATTTTTTTAGTCACATTTCCTTCATTCATTTATATTGCAGGAAAATATTCATACATACATATGCATATATACATAAATCTCCTTTTTTTTGCATACTAATCACCTAAATTTAAAATTAAAATTTTAATGTAATTATCGCACATTACTGCAAATCATAAGTAACAAGCAAAAAACATAAATAAATTAATAGGAAAATGAATAAAATTTGTTTTAAAGTTTTGATTTTTGCTTTTGTCCGTTTTCTTTCTTTTTTTTTCAAAAAAAAAAAATTAAAATATAAATAATAAAATGAATACTGATTTATTGGAAAAAAAAGAAAAACAAATATTTTCATTTCAATAAAAAACCTTTTGAAAAGAATGAAAAACGAAAACGAAGGATTAGAAGAAACTTTGACTTAATCATAATCAATCTAAATCAATCAATGACTAACATTACTAAGAAAATGCTGTAGTAGTTTGTTTGAACTTCTATTTGCCACTTTTTCATCCAAATTTTTTTTTTTAAATTTTAACTTGAAAAATGATCCTATTACCTTCTTCCTTCATCAGTCTTTCTTTCCTCTCTCTCTCTCTCTCTCTCTCTCTATCTGATAAGAAATGCACTTATATTAATTTACACAAGTAGATAAAACTTAAAAATAATTTTAATGGCAAAAATAAAGGTTGAAGGAAATTTTAATAGCAATTATTAATATGGCAAAAACTTGAAATTACCAAAATTTTATAAAACTTATTGTTATATAATGCCATTGGAAAGCTGATAATCATGCACTGATGTCATTTTATTTTACAATTATTATTCGTTATATAATTATCGACGTTTCATTTTCATTTTTTTTTTTTTTCGCAAACATTAAATCTATTTCTAAATAAATTTTTGCTTCTACTTTCTAAGTAAAGTTAACCAAGAGAACAAGGTAACTAATAGAAATCGGAAAAAAAAAGAATAAAGAAAAAAGTGAAACGAAAGAATTGAAATATAAACGACAACAAAATGTTATGCCACCAATTTTTTTTTAAATTAAATATACTGAAATTAATTAATTGGGTACCATATTTTCAAGCATGTTATATATAGAATTAATTTGTAAATAAAAATTTACAATAAAGGATGATATAATTAAAGAACTGATGAAAGAGAAATTTTTAAAAATTTTAGCCAAAATGAAAGCATTGTCAAATAGCACATAATATTTTTGTTTTTTTTTTGTCAGAAATTTATTCTAAGATTAAAAAATTAATATGTGTAGCTAATTGGTACGGAACTTTCATCCTTCTATTTTTCATCGTTTTGCCCAATACTTTAACCTATAATTCAGGTTATCTCAAATTACAATGCATTATAATGTGATATTAAATATATATATTGCATATTCCGTTACACTACTAACCGATATTATTTGTTGTAAACTTGCTTATTTCACATTCGCATTGATTGAATTTATTTTAAAATTTCGAAAATCAATAACACAAATCCAATTTTATACCAGCAATAAAATTTCATATATATATAAAAGTAATAATTATGACCAGCAGAAAATTGAAAAACATTACTATTTATAAATGTTGCGATGAATAAGCTAACGAATTTTGATGCATGTTAGCAAGAACAGTTGTTTCAGGAAAAATAATAGTTTGAAGAATAATAGTTGCTGATTCTATTATTTAACTTATCACTCTTCTCTTTTTCATCTTCTAAACAGTTATCGATAATGTAACATTTGTTCCATTCCGTTCAAAAAAAAAAAAAAAATCAAATTAGATGCCTAAGAAATTTGATAAATCATGACCTACGCAACTAATTAATAAGTTTAATACAATTTCTTCAGCATCTTTCTCCACTTAGTCCTTGTCCCTACCGATCAATTATCAATATTCCGCGACAAATTCACTTGCTACTTTAACTCATATCAACAGACTTTTTCACAATCATTTTTCACTCATTGATAATCTCAACAAAAAAGTGACAGAACCCGAATTATAAAAATGATCACTAAAAATTATTGTTAATTCAACACATATTTCACAACTTGTTCATTTCGCTGACTTACAATTATTTTAACTTACAAATAGCTGTTATAAGATTTGAACTCAAAAGGCAAATATTTTATACTATTCGATTCAGTGCATGTTACAAATTTCAGTTGATAAATATTATATATCACTTTATTTTAGTGATATAGCAGATGCAAACAGTTATCACCGACGAGTAGCACGTAACATATGTCCGCCACCTTCGAAAGGCATCGAACCACCGGATTTCTTTCCTTTTGCTGCGTCAGCTAATTCCTTCTCCATAAGTGAACGACATTTATACTCATACCTGTATTACAAGATAAAGTTTTAAATTAGAATATTTCTCTGTAAACATGATTTTAATAAACTACATAATCTCGACGCCAACAACCCTTCAAATTTTTAAGTGCGGACTACATAAATACAGTAAAGGAACTTTTAGACTAATCCGATTATACCACAAAATGATGATCACATACATAACATATAAAGCAAACAACAGAAGAAATAAAACAATTTCAATGGCCTATATCATTTCATTAGGAAGATTAAAACATCCTAACAATGTAGCCTATGTCTCCAGCAAAAAAGCATTGCTTTTCTTTTAATCAAGAAAAAAGGAGAGAAAAAGAGCTAACCTTACAAATTCTAGCTTTCCGGGAGTATAATTGGTATTAACAACTAATTGCGGAAGTGACCGCTCGGCTGCTTCCATTTCAGTCAGTGAAGTAGTCGATGACTTCGATTTTCCGTCCAAACGATGACCCGCACCAGTAAATGCTTTGAATCCACTACCACCCTTTCCTATTTCATCTGCAGCTGGTGTTGATGACATCGATGGCTGAAAATAACAATTAATTGACTTATCTTCAATTTCTTGACAAATCCAATTTTCGGTAGTCCAAGTTCAAATAAGACTTATTTGTTCAGAAAATAAAAACTAATTCATAACGAATTTGTTACACAATCGAACTCTTCGCTCTAATACACAGTGCGTGGATATAAGAAGTGCTGCTGTTATCTCAATCTCTGATACTGTAGATGAAAAGAATGACAGAAATTGTCAATAGTAAGATAAATCCAAAAACCTAAATTGTAATTCTTCAATGATATTTCCAATCATAAGAGGAATAAAGACAATTTGTATATAGAATTATTTTGGTGAAGGTCTTCTAATACTTATATTATCAGTATGAAAACTTAATTAATAAGAAAGAAATTAGAATGAAAAAAAAAAAGCATGCGAAACCTACTGCTGCATTTGAGCTGGATGCTGCATTTGTATTGGGTTCAACGTAACCCTCCGGTGCATCAAATTCCACATTCATGTCACATTCGATGATTGAAACAGCTCTTTCAGGTTTTACCTCCATCACCAAAAATTCCAATATTTGATCATTGTACTGAAGAAAAAAACTTTATCGATAAGAGGAAAATTATTAATACAGCGCTTCAAATACGATAAAATTTATTTTTAAGCAATGCAAAAACTATACAAATGAAAAGGTTGGAAATAATGGCAGAACTGCTATGTGGCATAGCTTGAGGTTCCTGTAATTTAATTAACTTAATTAATAATCATAAATTTCAGATCAAGGTAAAATATTTTATTGTCATTGCGCTTTCACAGTTCAAGCATTCAAACTGAACGAAGCAACTTTCGTAGTTTATAAATAGCAAAGATATCAAGATGACTAACAAGAGAGCAATATAAATTGTGATTCATATCCTATTTCTACTGACAAGCTAATTCCAGAACTGCCATGGGTATCAATCCTCCCTCAATTTTCTTTCTCACTGCCTCGTCGTAGAGGGCTGAAAATATAAAGTGACTAACCTAACGTTACACTCCTATTACCGGGTATTTAAAAGTTGTCCAGTATGTTCATGGATTTGTCACCGCACAAACTTTTGATCACTTTCAGTATCTTCTCCTAATGATAATTATTTTGCTTCAAACATTTGAAATCTGCAAACTATCCTAACTATACAACCTTAAATTATCTCAAATTCTTCTCTACAGAGTTACATTCTATTTCTATCACATTGTAAACGGTTGAGAGTGAAAATTCGGAGCTTTAAAAGCTGACCTCGACAGCAATAATGTCTCCCTTTGTAAGACATGCAAACTTGCGTAACTCGACTTCAAGTACTGCTCTCGGATTCGAAATAGCCAGAAAATCCGTAGACTGCGGCTTTAGCTTCGTATATGTAGCTTTCGGTAGTGTGGCATATGTTATTCGAACGCATTCACCTTCATTAAGGTGTAATTGGCGCATCATCTAAAAAAAAAAACTTGTTTTAGGGACGTAGTTTTGGCAAGACTGTTACGAATATGCTTTGCACATTCAGCTTGCTACATCACGCTTTGAGATATATAGCAAAGCAATTATCACATAAGTAAGACTCTTAGCATACCATTCGAGTATTATTACTTAAAATTTATGCAAAATTCGTCGAATTTATCTAATGATTTGTAGAAAAATGGCTTAGAATAACATTGCTTTTAAATACATGAATCAGTCTATTATTAGTTTCCCATTTTTCTGTCCATAAAGTTCCCAGTCCGATAATTGGAAATAATATTTTCTGCCACAGATGTTAACACTTCTTGATGAAATAAAATACTTCGTATTCATATTTTCATTTTTTAGAAGTTTCGCATAACATTTGACCTATGTTTCTATGATTTTCTGATCTTTTTATGAGTTCGACTTGAAACCAGAAGTTGCTCATTCTTTATGTTATGTCCAATAGTACTAACAACTTTGCGTAATTGTATACATTTTATATAAATTTACCCATGATGGAAGATAGCAACGACCCTCTTCAGCCAAGAATTCCAAAACGCCGCAGTGCGTGAAACATTTTGCATCAGTCAAATTTTGCACTTTGAACATCATTGGATATTCGATGTTAAGACGAACTAATAAATCTAGAGCCGATGGTGGAAGTAAAATCTGAATAAAAAAGAGGAACAAATTCAAAAAGAAAAAACTGAACTGTTGCAGTATCCCTCCGAAATTTTTTTTATAACTTCGCAATCTTTTTCAGTAGCTGCCAACATGTTAAATATTATAAATTTCCACGATTTAGGTAGTGCTTGCTCAATCAACATACATTCAGAGGCTATAGTGTAGGCGCAGAATGCTTTCAAAAACTCTTTCATTTTTTCTATTATTTTGAGAAAAAGTGGAAATAAATTTTTTTTTACTACTGCGACTGATAAAGAAAAGAAAATGTCTTTTTCTTCTATTCATATCAGAAAACAGAATTTCTTTCTCTGCTATCCACAATGAAAAGTTGGTCCTTCATTAACCGCTGTAGCTGGTAAGAAACTACTATTTTTCCTATGTGTAGCAAATCCAAAGGAATAAGATGAAACAAACAGAAGAAAATACCACTTTGTACATTTGGATTCAAAATTTTGTTTTTAAAATTTAAAAAAAAAAGATGGAATTCACATTACCTTCCCACCATGATTCAACTCATTTATTTTCTTCGTATCCGCTCCTTCATAAAATGCTGCCGAGAAGCATCGAAGTTGCAAATCAAAGGGGCGTACTGATGCCCCAAACATTATTGCTCCAAAACCATCGAACATCTTTCCAATTTGACTCGTACGCTGAAGCAATCTCTTTCCTCAAAAATTTACTCCAATTTGAAACACGGATAAAAAAACACAAGTTTATACTGTCAATATTTAATTTTTTTATCCATTTACCAGCAATCATAATCGTGATCTTACAGCAGCATTTAATTTTTAATCATACTTGATGGAAATTCAGAAAGTAATTCATTTAAATATTCATTTATTTCTCACATAATTTCCCCACTTTATATATCTATAAAAAATAAAAACAAAATAACGTACTGCTAGTTGTCAAAAAATTTCTTTTGACAAAAAAAAAAGATTAAAAATTTTAATAAGAAATAATCCAAAAGGTTGAAAATAACTGTTATTATAAAACGACAAAAAATAAAAAGGTAGAAAAAAAAAACATGAATTTGATACGAAATACTATAATTTTTGGAAATATCAATCGATTTCGTTAACAAAACAAAAAACTAGTAAAGGTGGTAGTAACATAAGATGCAAGTTTGACAAGCAAATAGTTGACAAGACTTAATCACCCCAGTAATATCTCAGACAATCAATGAAGCATTAATATTCATTTCATCGGATAGTAAAGAAAAACGAAGGGAGAAAACGAGGAACTAAATTTCACGGTATCATTAAGCAAAATCATATCCCAATCAAGAGAAGAAATAAAGATAAGAACATTTCAAACTTATCAAGTTTCAATTAAAAAATGCTAAACTTTACTCTTAACTGATAAAATACTCCAATAAATGGAAATAGTAATAGAAAAGTTATCAGTGTACAAAATGATTATAAAATATGCTAAGAGAATCATATGGGACAGAAGTGTTTTCATAGTGTGCTGTGGGCTATAGCGAATCAATTTCCATTTATATGAGTACCTCAGGTTTGTGCGGGAAATCTTTTATGGATTATTTGATGTGAGAATTTAGTCTCTTTGCTGAGATTAGTACAATTAGTGTATTTTACTGCAGGGATACTATTTATATAGACGCGGAGAAAGTATTTATGGTGGATTTCATGCAGTTAACGTTTTGAAAATTTTTTTTTTTATGAACAATTCGTTTGACTTTTCGATAGCTTTGTATTTGTGTAGAAAAGCTAAATGAGTTATAGATCTGTGCAGATTGATTGATTTGAATACACTAAATATTGTGGTGTGAAGTGAAGTTGTCTTATCAGGAAGTTAATTAGGGTTTTATTGGGTGTTTTTTCTTTTTTTTTTACTGTTGGTCTTTTACTTATTTGATTATTTAGTTTAATATAATGAATAGTGTTCATTTTGTGACTAATAAGGCAAGTTGATTTTTTTCTGAATGTCGATGGTATAATTAATCATATTTTAGCTGGTATATCAATCATATTTTGAGAATGACAAAAAAATGTAGTGTTTGCAAAATTTGATCTAAATATGAAATCCTCTAAGTTTTTTTTGTGTGTGATTTTTCGCTTTGTGAGTTGAAAAAGATGAGTTAGTACATTTAATAGAAATTATGTTCAGGTAAGTTTTCTTCGGTTTCAAGTCCTTCAAGTTAATTTCAACAGCGGATTTCAGGGCGAGAATAATGGCTCAGGAGGAGCTGTTAGAAGTATTACAGCGGACCGCTTCACTAAGTAAGTTGTTTTTTTTTTTTTCTAATTCTTATTCCTTTTTTGAAGTTATATTGTAAAAATCTTGCATAAAATCGGAATTACTGATGAGGAAATAACAAACGGAAGAGAATCGTACTATTCATGATATAAATAGAAGTGGTAAGAGTGTGTTCTTACCGTGATGTGGGTAAAAGATGGTTTGTAATAGATGCCTAAAAGTTCTGGTAGTTAAGATACTTACTATCTTTAGTTCCTTATAAGCTTATTATAAGCACTAGGAAATTTCCATTCTTAAGGTACGCTAAATAAACGCTAAATCATTTTAACTGTTTACAGTTAACGCATAATGTAAGCACACATTAAATTAAATAGCGTAGAGAGAATTGCAAGGGTTCAAATTTACATCCATAACTTTCACAGTTGTATAGTTGGTACTTTTTCCAGATCCAAATGATCAAACTCTTGCGTTGGATTATTTGCGACGTGCATGTGTTACTAATTTTGTAAGTCACTTCCTTCACTTAAATTCTTTAATATTTTTAAAATTCTTATCAAAAAGAAATAGGATTTTTGTACAATTGGAAAAAAGAACGGCACTCATTATTAGTTCACTACTGTTTGTTGTCTGATCATTTTTCTGTAATACTGCTATCTAACGTGACGGCAGGAAATGGAAGTTAGATGAGTCAGTCATATTGGTCGATAAAAATTTTCAGCCAGAATTCACGAAACAATTGTCAACGGTTCTTGCAACGCCATCCTATTCAAATTTTGTAAGGCAAGCTGCTGGTTTGCAACTCAAAAACGTTTTAGTTGCAAAAGAAGATGCAACTAAAAATGAATATCTTACGAGGTATTCTTTCATTATGTTCAGATTTTATCGAAGCGTAGTAAATTGCTTTGGCAAAAGAAAAGTGTTGAGCACGATGATGGACAAGACAAAAACATCTTGCTTAGTAGATTACCATCTGTTCTTGTGATGTGTTTGATTTCCTTAAATTTAGATCTAAGTGTTAAAATACGTTCACCATTGTATTGTGCTTAATAGCAGAGAGTTTTATTTGTATTCAATATGAATGCAAAGACAAAATCGCTAAAGCCAAAAAAAAGATGGAAATTTATCTTAGAATTGTTTTCAGGTGGCTTGCTTTACCAGTAGATGTTCGAGAGTTCGTGAAGCAAAACGTAGTTCGTACTCTTGGTACTGAACCTTTTAGGCCGTCCATTGCAGCTCAATGCGTTGCTGCTATAGCATGTGCCGAAATACCTTCACAAGTAAATTTCTTAAATGAATTTCTTGTGAGTTAACTATATGAGGTGATGCGCTGAATAAACAACTATGTTCATTAATTTAGTGGTAATGATGGTTTATATAATAAATCAGGTTTTATGTAATATTAAACTTTTATTTATTGAGTTCTTTTAGTACTTAAATTACTAGTATATTTGTATCTAAGTTTTCAGTGTTGTTTAATGTGAAGAAAAGTGTTATTGCAAAAAGAAACCTCAGAATATCCTGGCAAAAATGCTTCGGGCATCACTAGAATTAGGAGAACATAGGTCCACTTAAAATGGTAACAATCATGAAAATATATTGAAATATTATTTCAGATGTGGCCAGATGTTATAACTCATTTAAAGGATAGCGTAATAGCAACGAACAACAGTGAAATATTACGGGAAGCATCACTAGAGGTAGCGCTTTATTTCTGTTGCTTTTTTTTATGTAATTTTTCTTAATTTGCAATAAATTTGTAATAATTAAAATTTGAATATGTCTGTGATTATTTCCATAGAAGACTCATGGTGATCATAAGCGGTAATTGTTGCAAATCATAAACGATCAGCATCTACAACTTTCAATAATTTACGATTATTTAGGCTTTGGGTTACATCTGTCAAGATATATGCGGAACATTGTTAGAAAGAGAATCGAATCAAATTCTGACCGCTATTGTTCATGGTTTACGGAAGGATGAGCCATCCAATCATATTCGCCTTGCAGCTGCTAACGCCATGTTAAATTCGATCGAATTTACGAAACATAATTTCAGCAGAGAGGTCTTTTTTCCATAATGTTTTTCCACAATGTTTGTAAATATACACTTCTAATATCACTTCATGCTTTAAGCTACTGAAATTAGCTTTAAAGGTTACTTGTCTACTCATTTGATGTTCTTTATCCATTTCTCTAGATTTTTCGATTGTCTTTCTTATGACATGAAGCATAACGAACGAAACAACCTAAATAAATGTTATACGAGTAAGTAAATAAGTAAGACAGTAATTCTTTTGAAGTGATAAAATGAGCTGGTAAAATATTTTGTAAGCATTGCCTGGGAATATATTGAAATTTTGATGCACTGCGGAGGAGGTTATCTGAAAGTGATACTTTCCTTTTTGTTTATTTTTGAATTTATTTTTAAATACCATAGTCCGTTATATCATGAAATCGTAACAAGCTATCGTTTTCAATATGATGTAATAAATTTTAGAAAAGTCTATTTGTTTTAGAACGAGCGACACATGATTATGCAAGTGGTATGTGAGTCATCTCAGTGCCCTGAAACGGCCGTCAAAGTAGTGGCCATGCAATGTTTGGTCAGGATTATGTCACTTTATTATCAATTTATGGAGCAGTATATGGATGCACTTTTTCCGGTATGTCATTTGGAATTTTATGGAATTTGGATTTTGTTGTCTCTCGATTTTTGTTAACTCTCCCATCAAGTACTTAGATTTCTCTGTTTCTTTCAATTCTAAACTTGTTCCCACTGATTAAATTATATATTAGCTGCGAGAAATCCGTGGAGGTAGAGATTTCTTAAGTATCAATTGGTGGTCTTTGTAACCATAAAAAACTGTACAGTTATGCCATCATGAAGATACATATTTCAGATTAGTTTAAATGCAATGAAGTCTCAAATTAATGAAGTGGCTTTGCAAGGAATCGAATTTTGGTCAAATGTTTGTGAGGAGGAGATATCTCTGTCCGTAGAAGCTGAAGAAGCTCGAGAACAGGGCCGTGCTCCTGAAAATGTTTCGCGTCATTATGCACGTGGTATGTCTGTGTTTAATTAACCTTGCTTGAAGCCTGTGGTGAAGCAACTATTACAAATGAGTATAATAAGTTTATAATATGAATACATCTTTATTAACGTTAGGCAGGGAAGTTATAATTATCGAATGAGTGACTAGAGGAGGGATTCATCGTCAATCACTAGATCAGTCAGAGAAGGACTGATTCCAACTTCTTTTTGTGTTATTTTCAAAACTACATAATTCTAATTCTCATGGATGACTGACTCTTTTAACCTCTCAACTGCAACATTTCAGGTGCTTTAACTCATTTGATACCTATTCTCAGTGAAACATTGGCCAAACAGGAAGAAAGTGATGATGAAGATGATTGGAATCCAGCGAAAGCAGCTGGCGTATGCATAATGCTTCTTGCGCAGTGTACCGGTGATTCCATTGTTGAACCAATTTTGCCTTTCATCCAGCAACATTTGAAAAATCCTAGTTGGAGGTAATTTCTCGTATCTTATTCTCTTTCCCTAATTAAAGCAATATTACACCTTTTATCACATTTTATTTCTTTATTTCTCTTATTATAGATATCGAGAAGCATCTATAATGGCATTTGGATCGATATTGGATGGACCCAATGAAGCAGTCTTAACACAGTTAGTTGAATCAGCACTGACAAGTATTATTGCTTCCCTTTCTGATCCTCAGGTAATTCATTTTTAATTTCGAAATAATAAGCTTGAATACATTTAATAAGTCTTGTTTCTATGTGTATTAATACATGGCGTTTAAATCCGCACATAAGAGTTGGCACTTTAAAAAAAATTTTAAGTAGGTTAGGATAGTTACTATTAGTTAGTTCAAGTTTCGAAAGTGAAATTAGACTATTAAGGTAGTTTACAAAGAACTGTTCGCACCACAGAACTTTTTTTGATTCACAACATTTCAATTTTAGATATTAAAAAATAGCAATATCTGCAACAGTCAATAGCAGTATCCATAGTTGGTTACAGAAGGACTGGAAAAATATCAGTTTGTCAAAGTCAGTTAATATTATTCCATGTTCTTTTTGATACATTTAGCTACAAGTACGGGACACAGCTGCTTGGTGCATTGGGCGGGTGTGCGACACATGTGAAGAGGTGGTAACTCGACAGGAAATCTTAGCTCCGATGCTTCCAGCTCTGTCGACTGCTCTACAACAAGAACCACGCGTTGCTGCTAACGTTTGCTGGGTAATTCTTTTTTTTTTTTTTTTTTTTTTTCTGAACGAGCTTAGTTTAAATTGGAATGTAATTTGTGTTAGTAAATCTTAAGCAAAAGCGATTACTTGCATGGAAGAAATTACATAAGAAAAAAAAAATAAACTGATACGCAGGTTTTACTTTTGATAACGTTTAAATATTTTCATCAACCTCTAAAAGGGATTTTTTCCAGGCAATTTCAAGCTTAGCCAAAGCAGCTTTTGATATGGCGTGCCGACAAGGAACTGATAACAGCGGTCAACCCGAAACATATATATTGACTTCCTGTTTTGAAGGCATGGTAAACGAGCTTATTAAGGCTACTGACAGGTTGTTTTTTAAAAAAGCATGTGAGAACCAGTAAAAAAAGTACTGTTGCGTCGGATTTCTTTTGCTAATTTGATTTTTTTTAATATTTGGAAAAAAAATTTTTTTTTTGATATTTGGAATTTGAAAGTCTGGAAATTTTCTTTGTTGTTTCACTCGACTAATCGTTTATCTCATTTTTCAGAACATAAAGATCACTTTCACTTTAATTATAGACCGGATGCTCATGTGTCGAATTTACGAATAGCTGCCTATGAAACTTTGATGGAATTAATCAAGAATAGCCCAAAGGATTGCTATCCTGTAGTGCAGAATACCACAGTGATTGTACTCCGAAAATTGGAGCAGTTGCTGAACATCGAGAATTCACTGGAATCATTAAGTGATAAGGTTAAGCGATTTAAAATTAGTTTTTTCAGCTTGGTAATACTTCTATGAAAAATATTGTATTCAAATTACTGAACAGTTTTATGAACCAATAGCATGTTTTCTGGACTTTTTGAGTCTGGAAAGAAAACTAATTAGTCCTTGATGGTATTCTAAGGGAAGACGATACAGAAAAGTCTGGCAAAAAAAAAGCATCGATTGGAAAACGAAGAGTTGAATATCATTTTGATGAAAAACATTGTATTTAAACTACGTGTATCACGAAATTTCCACTTATATGAAATGGTAGTTAGGGCTGGAGAGATATATTGTTTTGAATTTTCCAATTTATTACTGAATTTTTTGTACCTTTCAGAGCCAGTTACGAGATCTAGAGTCATTGCTATGTGCAACGTTGCAATCTGTTTTGCGCAAAATGAGGCCGGAAGATACGCCTTATATTGGTGATGCTATCATGCAAGGTCTGCTGCAGATTATGCAAAGGTATTTTGACCCATAAAAATGCATTACTATAACTAAAAAATAGATCATTAGAATTAACATGATGAAAAGTTGTCAAATCTGAAATGTCAGAATTAAATTGGAAAGAGAGAAAATGAAATGAATACCGAGGAACTTTCAAGATGTAAACATAAAACTTCAGAACTGCTACAGATTCTTACTTTGTGTTCAAGAAGCTGCGTATTCATGATTTACAAGCAGATGTCATTGTTGTGTTAAGAGTTTTGAGGATAGTAAAATTTTGCATAACATTTAATAATTACTAACTATTCGTTAAATATCGGACTCTGGTATAACAAAATAAGCATTTATCACCTGTAAAAGAGCTAGAACGTATTTATCTGAGAATGTTTTTCTATAATCTGCTTGCATTCTATGTTGGGACTCATTGATCCCATTGTCGTGATTTTCAGGTGTGCTGGTAAAGAATGTGGTGGTGTCATGGAAGATGCTTTAATGGCAGTTAGCACACTTATTGAAGGTTTCTATTTTCTGAAATTTCTTTAAAAGATGATACATTTAGTTTTGCATAATCTAAGGTTGTTTAGAGTTAGATATTTTTTATATGGCGAACGCTTTTTAAAGATTCGAACAGATGCAACGACTAACTTGTTTATTTTTGTTTGTCACTTCCATGCAATATGGTTCCAGCATTGGGTTGTCAATTCGCCACATATTTGGATGTCTTCAAACCGTTTTTGGTAGCTGGCTTGCAAAATCACGAAGAAGGACAAGTATGTTCAGCAGCCATTGGTGTACTGGTTGATTTATGCCGTGCACTAGAGGCAACTTTGATGCCTCATTTAGATGAATTTATGGGGTTACTCTTTCAAATTGTGCAGGTTTGTTTTTAGTTTATAACTTTGTTCTAAAATTTGAGTTTTTCGTTAATCTAATTAATATAGTGCATTTACTTTCTAGCAAAGGAAAGATTAAGTATAAGAAAATTTGAAATTTGTCGATCAGCTTTTTTGATTGCGAAGCAAATCTAGACATGAACTTTATTGTTTCCTTTTTTGTTAGTAAAGCACTTATCTATGATTTCATTTTGCAGAGTAATAAAATAGATCGGTTAGTGAAACCAGCCGTACTGTCATGTTTTGGTGATGTCGCTTTGGCAATCGGTCCTAATTTTACTCGTTATTATGAATATGTTATGGCTATGCTAGTCATGGCCCTTTCTACTGCGAAAGTAGAAGATCCGGTTGGTGCAGATATGATAGCAGTATTTTTGCACGTTTTTCAAATACATACTTGCAACACATTATGAAATTTTATATATACATGTTTGCCATCTAATCAAGTCACATTTTAATCAAGTTAGATAAGAATAAAACGAAGAAATTTGCGATTTTAGGAAGACTACGATAATGTTGAATATGTGGAGCAACTGAGAGAAAGTTGTGTGGAAGCATATGCGGGTATTGTACAGGGAATGCGAACAACACAGAATAATGAACTTCAACAGTTGCAAGATCAAATACAAAATATGCTTGGCTTAATTGAACTCATTGCTACCAGTAATTCACCAGATTCACTGATAGGTGCAGCTTCTGGATTACTTGGTGAGTATCTCCTCTACATGCATCTCCAAGTTTACGGATATTGCAACATTCAGTCCCAAATAAATTTAATGCTCAGTTGTTGCATATATTCTTTGTCTCATACTTACTGATTTGGCTTTCTTTGTGAGTCCTGCAGTTGACATTAGTTGTCCAAACCACTTTTCCCTAGTTCCAGATAGGATTTGCTGATAATGAACAGATTAGAGTTTATAAAAGTTCTTAGCATTTAGAAAAGTTACTTGATGTTGTGTAGCTTGATCATGGTGGTACAAATGAAATTTTCCAAATTTTGGAAATTCAAAATTGAACATTATTTCAGGAGATCTAGTGACATCATTCGGTGAACAAATATTGCCTTTTGTCGATAATCAGAATATTTCGGCAATATTGACGAAGGGAAGACGAAGCAAAGCGGCGAAAACGAAGTCACTTGCCCTCTGGGCAACCAAAGAGATTCGAAGACTGAAAACAGCAAAAATGGAAAATCATAATTAAAGTGGAAAGATGAAGTCGAATTGACATCTTTCGTGAAATCATTAGAATATCTGGTTGCTCATGTTTGTTCATTTCATCAGTTCGATTGTTCTTATATCGCAGCTTTTGCTTTACCCGTCTGTCTGCCTGTCGTTTTTGAATTTGTTTTTGCCGGCTGGAGTGTTTGTGTGGTATGCTGCATTTGCTTTTGCACATTATTACTGTGCATGATTATCTACATATTTTAGCGTTGTTTTTTCATTTTTTTTTTTCACTTTTTTTTACAGAGATGAAATTCTTTGAATATTTTTTATATTTTTATAGGAATTCAAATTTTATTTTAAAGTTCATAGTTTCCTCTAGAACTTTGTTCTGACTTATAGCATGAATGCATTCTTTGTTTTCAAGAGAAGGGAGTAATGTACTCGAAAAAAAATGATCATTTCCCGTTCCCTTGATTGCATGCAAATTTTTCTGGAAAGACAAATAGTTAAATATTTTGCTCTGTATTTCAACAAGTGAACCGTCTTTTACTAGTCTTAAACTTCGCTTGCTGTCATCGTCATTCGTTTCATCATTCACCATAGTGAATTTCACATAAATGACTGAACATGATCACCTATAAAAGTTTATGATGTTAGCTAGTTAGGATATTTGTATTTTGGATCTTTGCCTTTAATGTAGTTATCTTGCCGGTATGCTTAAGACTTAGGGAGCTTTTCTTGCTCTTGCAATATTTTATCATCTATTGCAATGGCTTTTGTGAATTGGGTGTTAGTACTGACTTTTAAGTTTCATATAGAAAGCATAAATTCCAAATTTCTAAATTCTCTTCATTTTTTTCCAGTTTTTCTTCAGTTTATAGAGTTTTAATATATACTTTTTGTCCGGATTTCAAGGTTAAATCAACTGTAGACTTCATCGAAGTCATTACTCAAACCTGTTTAAACAGGTTTGATGTTTTGTAGTGAATGTATGCGTTTGTTAGCTTGTATTACTTCTATGCTTTTTATTTTAGTTTACCTTCTTTTTGAAAATTGGAAGTTTTGCCGTTTTTTTTTTTTATTTTCATTTTTTGTTATACAAACTGTTACCATAATTTCCCATACGATTCAAAGTGAAATTTTATTTGAATATTCATGAGTACATTTGTTGTTGTTGTCATTACAGATTACAAATTACGTCACTATTCATCACCGTTACGTTCCTTGCGTTCCGTTTTCCATCTCATTCTTTGCAATATAATATAGGTTTTTCCTTGAAAGTTTATCTATTTTCACTGCAACATTCGAATTTTTGAAAGTATTTTTTGTCTACATTTTTCTATTTGAAGGAAATATCTGAATTTTTCGAAGATTCTAATCATTTTTCAACGTTCACTTGATTAGGAAATGGTATGATTTTAACATATTCATTAAACTATAAGGAATAAATATTATATAATTCCCGGAATTATTTTTTTGAATCCTCAATTTTTAAAGTGCGCAGTTATCGGTGGATTCTAGCATATTACTTATTTCTCTCGCCAATTCAGATGACTTCGTTAATGCCCATTATCTTTCGCTGCTTTTTGTTACCACCATCACCTGTTCATTCTTATAGTTCTGGTAGTGTTTTCTGTATGTTTTTCTCTGTACGTCTCCTTGGTGTGTATTATTTTCATTTTGTAATTCTGCCCTTCATAATTATCTTTCTTATTATAAAAACTTGAGATTGAAACATGATTTTTGCATCCATTGTATGTATGTTTTGTTTTATTCTCTGGAAAGTTTATTTCTAGCTGTGCAAATTCATGTTTTACTTTTGCTTTTTTTATTCATATATATCACACTCCAATGCTCATTTTGTTGGCACAAATTTTCTTTTGATCTTATTCCTTTTCTTTTCTTCAACAATTTTTATAACATACTTTTGTTCTGCAACTTCTAATTGTCCTTTTCCACAAGTTTTTCTCATTTCTTTTATTTTTTATTTTTTTATTTATTTATTATTATTTTTTTTTTTTTGAGAGTATTTGATGGAATGATTGTTGTAATACATCTCTCTTACCAATATATATAAATATATATACATAGATAACTAGATAGATATAGATATATAAATTTGCATTTTGTATCTGCATGCTTTTTATAATAGTGTTTATTACCAGTTAAAAAATAGGTCTTGTATAAATTAAATAGAAAGGTTTATGAGAATAGTATATATATTGATATAGTGATATAAATGCGGTAGTTATATCTCTTTATCTGTTTGCATTAACATGGCTTATGTAAACTGATCAAAATATGTGGGATAAGAGATTTTTAACGTCAGAAGTGAAAAATTATAAATTGTTATTAGAATGTCCATTAACATTGGATTCGATATTTTATGCAAAATTCTCTTATTATTTGCAAGATAAATATGTGATTGTTGTTTCATCGTTTAAAAACAGTGGTTTATTATATTTCTGGATGTAATTAATATTCCATCAATAAAACACATGAAATGTTAAATTAAGATAGTTTTATTCGTTTTTCTTATATTTTAAAATGAAGCGCTGTATGAAGTTTTATAAAATTTAAAATCACAATTCGAGGTTATAAAATTTTGAATTTAGTGTTTTCAGGGAATCAAGATGCAGAAGTTTTGTATTTTTAATTTTCAATTTGCAGTTAGAATGATAGAAAAAGTTTTTTTTTAGTGTTAGAAATATTTAGTCTTTTTCACTTATTATTTCTTAGTTATGAGTTTTCTATATGTTCCTTAGATAATAAATATATTTTGCGTGTACAGAATAGCTAAAATCATAAAATAAAACTTACGAATAAATCAACTGATCATATTTCAAAACATATATGATACGTTGGAAATATTTCTAATTTTCTCATTTGCAATATTTTTGCTTTAGTTTTAAAAATGCTAGATGTTTGGCTTAGTTAAATGGAAAAATTTACACCATTATTGCTGGCATTATCAAAAAAGTGTTTCATTTATCTCTGAAATCTGAAGTGTTTAGCCATTTGGAAAAGCTCCTACCAAAATCAATTCTTAAAAAAACAATTCGACAAATTATTTTAAATCACGAAACAGTGTTGGAAATGGTAATAAAATTTAATTTAATCAAACATAGATCAAAAAGAAGAGCTATCATCTTTCACTTCTTGTCTCTTCAGATTCATCAGTCTCATCACTGGATGATTGCGCTTCTTCATCTCCCGTAAGGCTGATATTTGAATGATCCGAAAGCACATTTTCAGTTGTTTGTAATCGATTCCTTTCTACTGGCATCAAACTCTTCAAATATATCACAAAATTTGGTTTTATTAAAAGACTAAATGATATTGTAAAAATGTGACACTTTTAGAGTGGATTGAAATATATTTATCAACTCTGTAATAATAAATCTCATTTTTGTTGATGCTATAAGGAAAGTTTAATGAGTATAAAAAAGCTAATTCAAACTTAATTGCAAGCGGTATTGTCGTTTTTAATTAAGCAAACAATAATACAAATTTGACCTAGCACTTGTTTAAATCACTGTGGAAAAATGATAATTCTGGGATTTTTTGCAATGCTATTTATTTAATCTACTTAATCAATGAATGAATCATACCACGTAAATTGAGGAAAATTTAACCGTTCTAACGAAAAAAAATTGGTACATTTCAAATATTTAGCATGAATGTAATTTCAAATTGTTATTATCTCTTAATCATATCATGTAATTATCCTCATTACTATGAGGAATTATTTTGAAATATAAGAAAGATAAATTAATATGTATCAAATTTTATTACTTTTTTCAAGCTCAGTAATTTGTCTACAGGAATTTCACGCATAGTTTTAGTTTCAATTTCATCCAACCATATATTAGCCGAATGTAAGTCTGAAGCTTGACTTGAATCAATGGGCAAATCGGCCATGAAATTCTTAAAAATTCACTTGCAATATTGCTCTACAGTATTTTATATTTCAATAATAAATCATCCTATCATAACTTTCTATTCCATAAAATAGTAAAATTCTATCGTACTATTACGTCTGTAAAAACTTAAAACAATCCTCAATTTTTTAAATTGTGCAGTGCAGTAATTTGCATTGTTTTTTTCCTTAAATGAACCTTTTTATTTTTCTCGAATCTTCCAAAAAGCACATTTTTTGCTAAATCCTTGCTGATTTCTGCATATCAGATTTCAATAATTAAGATAAGCCCTAATTCATTTTTGTGTTATTATCATATTTCTTGTCAAAATTAAATCATGCTTAATTCTGTTGTAAACAATTTCCCAATCATGATAATTAAAATCCTAACAGTAACATTGCTAGATACTAGCTTCATCATCATAGATACTAATTTGTCTTTCTTTAAGCCTTACAATCTTCGTTTTTGTCATCATTTCATCTCTCTTTATTCCCGTATTTACTCGATTTTGAGAAATCGATCTTTGGGTACTTTCAATATCGAAATTCCTCTTCTTTCCATTGCTTTTTTCCTTTTTTATACCTTTTTTTCTTTTCTCCTGAAAATTTGCAACGATCACAAGGTTTATTTTTGTTATGAAAAGTGCTAGGAAGAGCAATAAGTGAAAGGATAAATACATTTCATTGGAATTTATTATCAGTTTAATTAAAACAATTAAATGTACTGAAACCAACAATTATTTAATTGGAAATATAAAATTAAAAATGTTAAATATATTTAAGACATACCTTTACAATTTCAGTCATAGCGTCTTCTTCAGTGGATTCACTAAACAACGGTGTTGCATCATCTTTTGCCTTCTTTATTAAGCTACTGCTTTGTTGATTTTGATTAATTGGAATAAATGAGATTGTTTCAGTGTTCAAATTTGAATTTTTATTGAATCTATAAATCAACAAATATCCGTGAAAAAAGATTTTTTTTCTCAGTTATTACTCATTGCTTGAATTCATATACATTCATGCGTTTTTTCTTTTTTATTTTTTTTATTGCATAAATTTCAGTAAACGAAAAACTGAATATGAAGAGAATTTCCTAATAATTATTATTTGATTAATGAAGAATTAGTGATTATTATGGAATAAACCTTCGAAAATGCTAACTAACGAGGTGGAACATAAGTTTTGTCCATTAGAAACACTCGAAACTTGTCCATGAATTGATATTGACTCAGTATTCGGTGAATCTATCATAATATCATATCACTATCACAGAAAAAGTACTTTGTAACTAACTTCCATCTATATATTATTATTATTATATATATATATTTTGTAACAGATTTGTGTGTTTATATTTATACATTATTTTTTTTCACATACTAATGAATTTATCATAAATTCTTTTTTTTCCTTTTAACTTAAAAATTATGTAATACTGATCAATAAATACCTAATATAGTTACGCTCGTTGAAAAAAGAAGCAAAAACAGTTAAACATATATGAAAAGAATTATGAATGCAATTAGAGGATGGAATTAATTCAGATGCATTTCGGATGCATAAAAATAATCAGCCATATCATTAATCTAATCAATTATATCAATAATGTATTCTTTTCTTCATTTTTTTTTTTTTTTTGAGAAATTTTTCAATGCAAAATTTTGAAACTTAATATTCAAAAATGAATGAATCACAGATTATTTCGGTTTAAGCATTCGTTCATTGCTCCATCGTTCTGACCGTTTAAAATGCTACTAAAATTTTTCAGATTATGGAATTTGTAATTTAATTCTAATCAATGATATTATGTTATAATAAATTTGTATTAAATTAATAAAATACTACCTTTTCGTTTTTCTGTTATATTTTTCTTTGCTTTACATAATAAGATAGAAATAGTTGTAACAGCAGTTAGTGTCACCATTAATGCAGGTGCAATTTGTTTACCGTAATTGCACAATTCGATTGTGTAAACTGTTATCATTGTCCTCTTAACAGTTTCAACGCATGCTAATATCAGTAGATAATAATAAGCTGACATCAATATATATTAATGTTAATAATGCTATTATCAATAGATAATTATAAAACACTTTGAGGGATTGGAAACGATACCATCTGATAAGCACAAGAAAAAAATTAACTGTTTTACAAAATGAACCATCTAATTAGCAAAACGAATAAAAACTTTGTGTTCCACAGTTGACCGTCACAAACAAAACTCGTACTGCTTTTCACGCTACCAATCAAATATAATAAATTTGTAAAAATAAAATTGGTTAGGTTTTTTACATTAAATAAAATACTTTACGCAAATTGCAAAAATTTGCGTAAAGGAATGTATGTTGAAGCGAACGATATTTGAGTTATTAAGCAATTTAAACAAACAAAAAAGGCAAAGTATGGAAAGAATTAAAGTATGAAAGTGAAATGCATGAAAGATACTTCCACATGCATTTTTCATCGTAACAAAACATCTTTTTTTTTTTTTTTTTTAAATAGACATAATCAATATAAACACATATACAAGATGAAATAATTCAAAAGTCCGCGATACCTTCCAAAACTTTGTTATTTCATCCGATCCATGCCATTATTTTCAAAGAATATCATCCATTCTATGCTTAAATACTATTTTTGTTAAGAGTTAATTAAATAAGTTACAATAGAAATGATAACTTTGCTCTTTAGTGTCATTCTAAACAATCTGTGGTGACAGATGTTGAAAAAAGCAATAGATTAGGTTCAGTTGGAGATAAAATATGAGGAATTCTCCTGGAGAGAAATCTGTTGAAAATAATTTAAGGAAAATTGCAGCAATGAATGAATGTAGGATAGCCAAATTGAAACAACCCTTTCCATGTAATATGCAAATTTTCGTATTTCACTTTTAGTTCTCTTTAGGATAATACCAAAAAAATGCATTTGATTCTTCTGCTTCTGTCATTTTTACACATTTAATATGGTTGCTATTAAAGTAAGCAATATTGCAGAATTGATTAAGCACTTGCTCAGTAGTAGTGACAAACGTTTCTCTATTGCAATTATTGCCAGAAAGTAAATCAATGCATAAAATTGTCTTAAAAAGTCGATTTATGCAAATTCAACAATTAAAAACAGCTTACAAATAAAAAATTGATTAAAATAGCGTAGACAAAATAATGCGTTGATGTGGACATGACGTACAAAGTCCATATTTCTTTTGAATAATCTGGCATAAGTTGATGCTGAAGCATTTAGAGTTCAACCGCATGTCTGGAGGATGAATGATGATCTTAGATTCAAAAAATGGACTTCAAAATTTACAATTTATTTTGGCTTGACTGGAAAGTGAAATAGAGCTATTGAACAGATCCATTACTTTATCCTTCTTAACTCTTTCTTTCGAGGTGATTACTTTTTAATCCAACATTATCCTCAAATTACCTTAAAAAAGCAAATTCACACATCAATTGTCGATTCTATCTATTCACAATACTGTATAGGAATGCTTTATATTAGTTACTGGACTATGAAATATAATTACTAAATGCACCTTTTCCTGCCTTATTTGCATTGAGCTTAAAGAATTTTCTTCGTAATAATAAACGATAAATAAATTAAAGTTCAACAACAAAGAATTGCAATTCTATAACATTTTCCCACCTGCTAACTTATCATTTTCCTACTTCAAGCAGTAATTGTTCAATATAGCTAAATGCACAGAGACCGTTCAATCAGCATCCAATAACATTTGTAGAAAGAACTTAAAACTGCGTTCTACATATTTGGGACGTATATCACATTCAACCTAATATGGTAACAGTCCAGAACAAATCCGTAATATAATAAACAAGTATGCAGTTTTTGTTTTATTAGTTAATAATATAATAGACTGATCAGTAAATTTATAGTATAACTAAAATTATGTGCTGACAAAATAATGTGAAAAAATTTAAAAGCCTTGTTGAAATTTTTTTGAAATGACTCAATTTTGTTGTTGCTGTGTCTTAGAAGGCAATGTTGCTTTACCAGAATATCAATACTTCCAGAAACTATGACAGAAATTTGAAGCTGACTCTATCAGTTCTAAGGAAGAGAATCGAAATTGGAACAACCATTAGCCAATAGTAATGCTTTGGTACCATATTTCAGTGTGTTAGCATGATAGGTTAATAAGTATATGGTAAATAATTTCACGATGATATGATATGTTCAAATGTTTGCAGCTCATATTAAACTAGTACTCCTTTCCATGTCGAGAAATTGTAAGTGCTATTAAGAACCTTTGAACTTTCCTTGGTTGTGACTTGCAGTTGAGAATAAAAGTTGTTATAATAACTTTGTAGTTTGCGATCCTCAAACACTTGGACAATGGGTTGAAATTCTTATATACTGGACATTGGCGGCTTGCAATAAGCGCATGATTACAGTGAGTAGAGCTGTATTTCAGGTGATCTTTACTCTTTGCACAGTAACAGTTAAACTTTCATTTAAAACGAAGGAACACTTTTCAACATATTAAGCAATGCATATACTTTGTTAACAACTGTAGCATTGCAAACAATGCACATATATGTGGAATGTTTATGGTTTTATATTTTTAAAATTTGTAAAGGATATTCAATTAAGGTAATCTTAGTGGTACGGATTAATCAATTTTGTTGAGACATATTCGGTTTTTCTAATACTCCAAACATCACAGTTTTTCCCACTCTGTCGCTGAAATTACCAAGAAAGAAATTATATTTTATTATTTGCAGAAAGTTTTTGGGATGAAATCTCGTTTGATCGATATGTAGAATATCCGCTGCGTCAGCATGCAAAGTTTGGTGTACATAGCATGCAAAGTTTGGTGTGTATACTTGGTGTACATGAAGAGAATAAGTTTTTTTTTTTTTTTTTTTTGCTTTATTGCTTTCTGTATAATAATGAAATTATAGGAGGAGATGTTATAGAAAAAGTAATAAACTGTTGGCAAATTAACTAATTTCAAGAGAACTGAGTTTTAAAATCATAGAACCAATTCCTGAAACAAACTTAAACGATGACAACGAAGCCTTCAGAACGTAGATTTAATTAAAGTATCCCTGAGATGGATAGTCTTAGAAAACTATATCACCATCTATCCGGATTCAAGTTTAGAATAGCATTCTCTCCGGATCATTGCGGACAGGCTAACAATCCAGTTGACTGACATGCTTTGTCTGATCTTTTCACTGAGATTTGTTTGGCATGGGAACCAACTATACCGACAACAAATGCCATTACCAGAAATGTTATATGAGCATGAAAGCTTCTCCAACACTGATATTGACGAAGAATGTATATATATATATGTAGAGAGGGAGAGAGAAAGAAAGAGAAAGAGGGAGAGAGAGAGAGAGAGGGAAAGATGAGGTAGTTGGTTTCAAAGGAAGAGTGAATAGCAAATAGCTTTCCAATTAGATTTTTCAGAATGACGGAATTCTGGTTGTAAAGATGTTGGATAGCGTTGATTTATGATCAGTATGGTTTATGACAAACACAGTTTCGGAGTGATATTTGACAGTATTACCAAATGATTTAAAAGCTAATCGTATTGATCAATATTCGGGGAATATTTTTACAAAGGACATTTGAATTACTTGAGGCGTTGAATTTCGAAATGCAAAAATTCTGATTGCTAATACAGGTGTGAAAAATTTATAAGTGTTGGTCGTTCATTTTATACTTAGTTGTTAATGAAAGCATGATAGACTATATATGGGATTTTAACTAATAATGAGATCACTAATGAATAAAACTTAATGTAGTCCAATTTTAAAATGAAAATAAGAGTTCAGAGTAGTGTAATGATCATGGTATTACAAAATAAAAGATAAATAATAATTGAAAGAATCCTTCTCTTTTCTTTTCTTTCCATTTTTAAATTGTAATAATTTTCAACTTCATTTAAGGCTCATCGGCTAATCATTCATAGATGTTTGTCAGAAGTATCGTTGTAAGGAGCTCTAAATAATGCATAAAATTATCAAATAGATATTATCTTTTGATGTTTTCATCAAAGCTAATAAAAGTTCGTCAATTATTTGCTCATTGATTGATCAGATATTTGTTTGTCATCGATAAATAAAGTTGATGCTCGTCTCGATAGAGTAGACGTGTGCTATGTTATTATTGCAAAGTTGAAGATAGTAAGCTTTATCTTTTATACTCATTAAAAATATATTTTTAATTTATCGTTTTGCCTTCATTTAGTACAAATTGGTGTGATACAAGGTGTGATACAACCTCGATAGATCACCTCACCTCTTATCGTTCAGTGCAATGACTTGCAGGAAGAGAAAATTTAATAATTTTCTAGAATGATGGTTTTGGTTATGGAGATTTTGCAAAAAAACGAATAAAGTAAATAAGGATTTGATGTAGCACAATGAAGTTCTATAGTTCAACATTTGTTTTGAAGATTATACGTAATGGAATATTGTACGTATACTGTTTACGTCTTCCTAAAATTCTGATGACATATGGAAATGTTATAATATTGTTAAATAGGTAATTTATTTATTTTATTTTAAAATATGTCTTTTATTTGAAATATTGATGTTGATTAATTGTTTTTCACTGCTAATCGTAATTAATATTAAGTTTATTATGCATTTTTGCTAATGTAGCACAGCAGACGGACAAATATTACAAAGAGTTATTTCACATGTAGAATAAGGCATGCTGAAGGCTTCTTTTTTTACAAAATTTGTAATACAGTTTTTGATTTTATGTTTTCTCCGCAAATGATTTCTTCCATAGTCCTTTTGATTCAAGATTTAAGTAAGCTTTAAATGAATATAATTGATCTAATTTTATTTTAAGTTGTAGTTCAGAATACATCGAAAAAGGAAGAAGTTTGTTTTTTCACTCATTAATGAATTCTTGCGTTATACTATCCCTCTGAAGTTGTTTGTCTTTTGTATACTCTTTTGCTGGAGAAAAAAGTTAAAAGAAGCACTGGAAGGATTCACAGAG